ATATTGGTGAACAACCGCGTTGACGATCCGTGTACGTACCAGACGTGCAACTACAGTGTTGAGTACGACAGAGCTGACGTAGCTGCATTTCCACGGTCACTTTCTTTTTCACGAGTGCACCACGCCGCCGGTTGTCGCAAGGCAGCCGTTATATGTGGCGTATACTGTTCAGAAGGCAAGCGCTGCAAGGAAACGATGTGGATCCCTCACTTCGACTCGGAACGGACGCTGCGTGCAGATACGACCTCGAACATCCCCGCCTTCTGAGAAGTGCTGCTTGAAAACATAGGGAAATATTTGGTTTTCGGCACAAATGTTGCAAATATGGGCGAAATAGAGGTGTGCAAGTCAATGGAATTGCATAATTGCTTTACCAGCGGCTGGGTAAATAGACTGTTTGGAAATGAGCTTCGCGGCCGTAAATTTGATCGTGCGCTCGGAGATACGTTGGACGGGTATACAACACACCGTGCCTTTCACCGTCGATGGCGTTTCGAATGTATACTAAATGCAACGACGCGGGGCTGCAGAAATAGCGTGCTTTCGCACATTTGGAAGTCAAGCTCCGTAACCATGTTGTGATGACTAAAATTATAGGGAGAGAGAGAAAACATCGTAAACGCACCCCTTCCGCGATGTGCCCCTTTTCGCTTCACGAGCTCACAGTCATTTTGGGTGGGCGCGGCCGGCTACGCAGATGACCAGCCTGACCTTGGAAAAACATTGAACCATCTCCAGCGTCGCAAGCTCTTTCGACACCCTGTCCGGAGCCGAGTGCGGGAAGGGAGGAAAACTGAGCTGACCGAATTTAAGGTGCTAGAAAAAAAGACTAAACGATTTGGGTCTCTTACACGAAAACTATAGTAAGTTCGTATAGAACAAGACCTTCTGGCCGTCCGAGGTCAGCCAGGTCGATTCCTCTATGATTTCGTTATCTATCCGGCTTTCGGGATTCTTTGAAAAAAGGCGTACACATGCGAAAAACGACGGGGACCTATTCGTGCGCCGCGATGCGCTTCATGAACGGCTCCTGCATGTCAAGCCTCATTTCATGTGTTTCCTTAATTGCAGTTGATAAAGTAAATCAAGATTCACCATTTACCAACTAGTGCATCATATTACGCTAGGATTACATTTACGGCTTTAAAAGTGGATTCCTGTTTAAAGGTCGTCGATCTTATAGTCTTTGCCAGTGGTCTCGTGTTTTAGCTGAGTGTGCGAGCGCGTATACTTGGGGGCTCTTCATTGCGCGGCATGATGTGCCCTTGGCAGATGGCCCTGGTTTCAAACTGAAGTGTCAGTTCATTAACCTATAAATGTCTCACCAGTGAGACGTACAAATTAGGTTAAATTTGCTTCGCTCACTGCAGTATCGGCCTTTTTTAAATGCGAAGCATTTCTTAACGAGCTTCGGCGACTTTGAGCGTATCTATCTATCTATCTATCTATCTATCTATCTATCTATCTATCTATCTATCTATCTATCTATCTATCTATCTATCTATCTATCTATCTATCTATCTGTATATCTATCTATCTATCTGTATATCTACCTGTCTTTCTGTCTGTTGTTTACGAGTTTTAGCTCTCTTGGCCATTTCGATAATGGTATCAATACCAAACTTAGTAGGGCATAACACGACTGTATAAAGAACATATTTGATTAGTTGTAACATGAATATCATGACATGTATGTCATGAATGTCATATTTCCCATTCGCGCTTCGCATACCATCGATTCCCACTAGACGTGGGATCTGCCAATTTTTGTTTGTTATGTAACCAATGAGGTTGCCATTTCTGTTAGCATCACCGTAGAGTTAAAGCTATGTTTCGTAATTGGCCTACACATTTCGGACATTCAGGATATCAGTGTGGTTGTGTTTATTTAAATTTGACGTCAGATCTGTATTAATGACCCATAATTTCAGATACGACATAGGCCTTTTTTTGATTGCCAGCGTTAAAACCACGCCCTATACACCCACCTACCCACCTCCAACCTTCTTCACTGCAACGCAGTGGCGTAGCCAGGGAGTGGCACACTGACCCCCCCCCCCCCCCCAATCTCCCCAAGTTTTTTCTTTTTTTTTTGCCGCGTCGAACAGAACGGAAAATGATTATTTCAAGGACGTCCTCCCTCCACCTAAGAAAAAAAAATATCTGGTCCTTGTGGCCCGCTTGCTGAAATCTGCTTGATACTCCTGGTCTAGACGAAATGGTAGTCGTGCTTCGATCCACGCGCATCGACACACCCGCAATGCAAACATGCAGAAATCATGCATACGTGGGGGTGAAGGCATGCCGCAGAGCTTAGGAAAGAACAAGGACTGAGACATTTTTTCCCCTTTTGCTCATGACAGCCTAATTTACTGGCGCGTCCCTATCACTTTACCGCTCTGTTAGTCAGGCGCATCAATTGCATTGATCTCCAGGGCACACATGGCTGTGCGCATTCGAGCGCGCTCGTTGTGGCGTCGTCGTCGTTCGTATGCGGCTGCGTCTTTCGCCACGCTTGGCTGCTCGTTGGCTGCACTTTGTGCTTCAACGACTTCCGCAGCGGCGCCACGTGATTGATGATGTCCATGTGCTCGGTGGAGATCCTTCCTTTCGCTGTAGTCGCTCCGTGCACTGCCTTTTCGTGGCAGCGATTGCCACGGTGCGCTCGACTGTCTCTGTCCCTCACGACGATAAACAAACCCCCTTATGACAGCCGGAAATATTCACACGCATGTCCAGATATCCTATTCCCCCAACCTAAATTTTATGGAGAATCAAGGCGTACGCCCGCCGTCTGGAGAATTCGCTTAGAGTTCCGGGTAAAGTCCAAGTGGGTGAAGGCTCGACCTCACGTAGGCGCTGCAACGTGTCAGCGCGTGGCTTCTTCATGCAGCACTGTGCCCTCTCCCATGGAGAGAGACGGTGCGCTTTCCAGTTGGTGTTGGGCTAACCCGACCACGGGGACGCTACGCTTTCAGGGGGGAGGGCGCAGTGCTCCATCAAGAAGCCACGCGCTGGCACGTTGCAGCGCGTGCGTGTGGTCAGGCCTCAACATCGACTCTCGGGTTGTATGTTCTATGTGCGAGCGCAAGCTTGCGAAGACAGCAGACGGGCGTGGCTGTCTACGCACCGCCTACTAATTGCACAAGTAGATTAAAGAAGCTACGTCTTAGATCTCAGCTGCGGACAGAGATGAAAATTAAAAATGTGCAATAGGCAGTGTGGGTGGACGCATCCATACTCGGTTGGCCACCGTGTGCTTGCAATAGCGTGTTGCATTCGCCCTTAATAACTGAGCCTCCTTCCAATCAGATGTGAGAGTGTCCTGCGCGCCATTGTATGTACCTTGGAAGACTAGCGTCGCCTTTTGCTACTGTGTACACCCGTGGCATGTCTCTGTGTTTTGTCTGAATACATTGGCTTGATGCCAGTTGGTGTAGAGCTGCTGGTTGGTCCCGCGGGTCATTTATCAATATTACCTGAGCACTTTGTGTGGACTTAAAGTGATTATTCTATAAATTGGCCTTCATACTCTGAACGTGGTATAGGAAATCCGGTAATGGTATTTTGCCTTTCTTTATTGTAACAAGAATTATTTCAGATCAGGCACAGTAAGCCAAGCACGACATGTGGATTCATATATGTTGAATTCTTGTAAAGCAAGGCATACTTTGCTTTTGAATCTGCATCTGTTCTGTATCTTTACTGTACAAGCTTATTCGCCTCTGAAATAAAATATCTTCCATTAAACAATGATGCCTGTGACAGCGTGTTGATAATCAGGAGTACTAGTTTATCAGATTATCTCGGAGTACTTCCATTCATATCTTTTGAAGCAGTGTGGTGTGGGTTGACTTGATTGTATGCCAAAGTGAATCTTTGCTCATTTTTTTTTCTCACTCGATTCAGTGGTGCCCATTTATTAGTCATTATGCCATGTTTCTTAAAGCTCTTCTAGGTTTGTTTACCATGGTTGTTTCGCTTGATTGAAAACCAGTGCATCTGTCTCTCTAACGTCAGGTTAACGAGATATCAAATTTTAGTTAGCCCTCCATTCTTCTCAAAATGATTAATGAACTAATATGTTATTGCCTTCGTAAAATTGCTTCATTACCTAGATGCATTTAAAAAAAAAGGTTGGCGGTACTTACGACCCATGCAGAACTGCAAAGGTATTGTACAAATAAAGCATTAGCATGAATACATCTTTAGTACAATCTTGAGCTAAACTTTCAGGAATAATGGTGAAGTGCTATATTTCCGTTTTGCCACGCGCAAGAAAGCCAAAGTTGTGTGGTGCTCGGTCCATGTAAGCATGCTTGGCTATGCAGCGTGTTGAGCTCGATCGACAGTGCCGGGATGTAAACTCCTTTTGCTGGTGCTAAATGAATTATTTCTTGGCAACTCCACACTGAGGACGAAGCATTGCTTTTTATTGCAATGAAAGTAATGGTGCCAATGGAACAACAATGACAAAAATGGAATACCACGGGACTAGTCCCGACTTCGATATTTTGCATGTTCAACACCCGTGATCTGCGTTCCATCATCGTCCCTGTTCTATTCGCGGTGTTACTTTCTTTGCTTTGATCATGAATAAAGTAGCCCTCATTAAGTTGTTACTAATCACTTCTTTGGTTGATCAATGTTCTGTATTTGTGCCGTTTCATTTGTAATACTTAAGATGAAATCTGTGTGAAGGTATTCATGTTGGTAGTGGGGAAAAAAATGCGCACACACAAGTAAGGAACCCATGCACAGGACGAGTGCTAGCTCCCGCCCGGTGCAATGGTTCTACACTTGGACTAGCGCCCATCCTGTGTATGTATACCTTACTAGTTAGTGTCTACGTCAGGTTTTCTTTTTTTCGCGCTATGAATACAAATGACTCAAACCAACTAGCCCGCATTACTGCTGTGATTTCTATGTAAATGGCCCTGGCTGTTTTTCTATGTGCCCTCGCACTGACTGCGTGCCTTTCTATTTTGGTCAATTTGCAGGCTCATGGCCTTCCTGTAGAAAGTAAATGTGCATTCCGGGGGAAGTGCGGCATCAATGAGGACACCGAGAAAGACATCCCCTGCAAGTACGATGGGGAAGCACAGCCCCTTGAGAAAGAGGGCCTAGAAATTATCAAAGAAGTGTGCCCCCATCTACTACAAGGTGAGCCTGTGGTTCAGCCGGGATCGCTCCATCACTTTCTTCGTGACAAGAGGGCCCTTATAATTTCGGAATGTGCTTCGGATAGGTCGGCCACACAGACTGGGAAATGCAGCCCAAGAAATCTCAAAAAGCATCGCTAAGTGCAAGCACTTCGCAGTTTAAATATGTGAAGTGAATGATCGATCGATACTTTGGCAGCATCACAGTAGTAGAGAGTGGTTTAGTGAACATGTGCTCAGCAACTAAGGCATTGCAAATACTTAGTTCAACAAACCGGATTCTTCTCACGACAGCCACATTTTGATGAAGGACAAAATGCAGGGGCATCTGTGCACTTCATCCTCGGGTGCAATTAGTATGGAGGCATATTCATCTAATTATGACATAATTATCTTTAGGGGACACTAAAGAGGAAAAGGATTTTTGGGGTTATAATAAAGTACAATTTTACAATCCCAAAAATGCCGCTCTTATCGCTACATGGCGATTGGTAAGCAAAAAAATGCACAAAAAGGAAATGCGGGCGGTCATGCCACTTTGAAATTCCCGCACCAAACACAGTGACTTATGAAATTTTTAAGGTGTCGGCTGGAGGGTTTTATGTAGCTTCCATTCCGTAAATAGAAGTATGAAATTTTTAAGGTGTCGGCTGGAGGGTTTTATGTAGCTTCCATTCCGTAAATAGAAGTACATTGTCATCTGTGAGTGTTGTAGACTTAGCATATGAAGTTTCAGAAAATTTTTTCAAGCCAATGCCTCGTAAATACTAAAAGTATATTTTTAAAATTCTGATGTCATACGTTCAGTCTTTAGCACGAAATTCAAAAATGGAACTTCGACCGTGATTCTCTCCATTAATAATGAACTTTTGATCGTGAAACACATGGCATTAGAGTTCTCAGAGTGTAGTTTGTCAATCTAAACCAAGCCATTGGTCCTCTTTAGTGTCCCTTCAAGGTTTGGCACATTACTGGGTTGCTGAATAAAGGTCGAAGGGAGACTTTCGAACCCTTTGGGTTACTAAGTCAAAGGAATCTCGAGATGACTGACCGAGACATCAGAAATGATCAGCTGTAATGACAGGAATTAGAGACATGTGGCTGTAGATGCGTAATGAATGAACCTATGCTTGTAGTGTATACTGTATATCATGTTGGTATTTTCTTGTCGTGTGCATTATAGAAAGTTTCGACTGCATCATGAGCATTATTCAGGCTGGCTGCCTCAATTGCGTACTTGAAAATTGTTAGTGTATTCTGAAAAGCTTCAGGCATGCTTGTTCATGCCAAGAAAAATTTTGGACTTGCACACAGCTGTCATAACGTGACAAGGGTTACATTAAGTTCCACAATTGGTTTATTCAGGAAAAGCTACGATTTGTTTCAGCTTTGTTCTGTTAGGATTTCCGAAGAGGCCAATTGCAAGTAGAGTGTTGGACCTTGTGGAAAGCCGATCTTCAGCTAGTGCACATATAGGTAGTAGAGTAGCAGCTGTTTTACAAAACAATATCTCACAAATATGAGCGTACACAGCACACCAAGCACACCAAGTTCGACTGTTTTGTTTGTTTTGAAGTCCCTATCATTTATGCTCCTCAAAAATATCTAAAAGACCCTGCAGCACCTAGGCATCTCTATGATTGGACAAAACCTTTGTGCTTATGAAAGTCTGAGAGACTTGAGTTATATGATCTGTATCATATCTGCTAATGGCTGCATGCGTGTAATTTCCAGCTTAAAAGTGCTATTGAATAGTAGTTCATGAATCAATTTGATGATTATCAGTTTTGAAGCTCAGCCAAGATTGCATATTTATTATCGGTATGCTACCTGTTTGCATACCACAATTTCAGAATGAAATTTTATTGACATGAATCGTTCAGTGTTGTTAATATAATCATTGTTCGCTGTCTTATCCTTTCTACTAGGTGATGAACCAAAGTTTTGCTGTGATCTACCACAACTACAAAAAATGCATGAAGAGCTAAAACAACCCATCAGCTTAGGCATGGGCAAGTGCCCTACCTGCTACAGCAATTTCGCGCGGATATTTTGCGGTTTCTGCGACCCGAACCAGGGCGACTTCGTAGCTGTGAATGAAACTGAGCCCAGCCAAGAGCCCGATGCCGGCGAGCTCATGGCGACCGTTGTAGACTACGCCATCAGCGAAGAGTAAGCAAAACTTTTGTAATTGCTATTAGTTTCTCTGGCGTCTTCAGTGAAAAAGGAAGGGTTTACATCATTATGGTTGTATGCAGAGATTTTTTAAGGGGGGGAGGGGAGGAGGCGTCTCGTCGATATAATGTGGGGGCCAGACAGGCAGATGGTCATTTTGTGCACTGCATGCATGGCGAAAGAAATGGGGGGGGGGGGGGGGGGGCACAGGTCCTGAGAGTTGGCCCTTGGTTATGCCACTGCGTTACATGAGTACTTTGTGAAGCACATGGTGGAGCCCTTCTGACAGATTTCGCAAGTATTGCAAATGAGTTCTGCGGGAACCCGCAAGGTGGAGGCAGGGTTAAAAAAGGGAAAGAAAATGACCACTCGTTTGTAGCACGAAGCCACAAGGAAATCCGTACGAATTTCTCAGAAATAAAAGCTTCTTATTTGCCGAAAAACCCCAGACCAGAAGGAATTTTTCTGGAACTAAGAAGCTTTTGTTTCTGAGAAATTCATACGGATTTCCTTGTGGCTTCCTGTTACAAATGGGTGGTTGTACTTTTCTCTTTCTTGACATTTCACTAAACTGAAACAAAAAAGACGCTGCAGCCAAGAAACGTTTGATGCGAACGTGTGGTTGAAATTGCTATGAGTACAACTAATTGATAAAACAGATGCATTACACATAGCAGCTCTACAAACTTTGAAAGAATTTATTCATTAGTTTATGACTTGAAGACGCTGCAGCCTTAGATGGAAGTCCTAGAAGTCCTAGATGGAAGTTTTTGTGGTTCTGCCAAAACCAGACCCGTTTCGAAACAATTTTGTGGTAGTCTACAGTGCTCAAGTCAATAATGTACTTTCTTAGCACATACAGAGCAGTGATACTTCACAATAAATGAAGCTGGAACACTAAATGAAACACTTGTTAGAAGGAGGTTATAATAAGTAGCTGTCCAAAATTTCTTTCAGGAATCGGATGCCAGGAATGGTATACATGGAAAAAAAAAAAAGGCAGAAAAACCAGAAGGGAGGAACTTATATGAAGGGTTCTACTCTATTTCTAACTGTGAACTTATTCACGTTTCGTTTACCCGTGACGCTACAGACTCGAAAGTCACGAGTTCGATCCCGGCCGAGGCAGTCGCATTTCCATGGTGGCAAAATGGTAGAGACCCGCGCACTGTCCGATGACGGTGCACAATAAAGAACACCAGATGGTCTTAATTTCCTGAGTCGCCACTATGGCATCACTCCTATTCACATCTTGGTTTTGTCACGTAAAACCCAGATAATATCATTGATTACCTGTGATGCTAATCACCACATCTTTGCACAATGCTTACTAGGCTGAAGTCTCATTGAATGGCGTAAGTATATGGTTTCTGGATTTTTTATTTATTATTTTTTTCAGATTTGTCCATGGTGCTTTCAACTCTTGTGCCAACGTCAAGTCTGTGATAACAGACACGACGGTGATGCAGCTCATGTGCGGGGCACATGCCAGCGATTGCCAGCCCCAGTATTGGCTCGACTTCCTGGGAGCCACGTCGGAGGAAGGCGGGTTTTCGCCTTTCAAGTTCAACTACATCATCACCTCAAAAGAAAGCGTTTCGAGTAGTGGGGTCACGCTGAAGCCTTACAACCCATCCTTCCACAAGTACGTGACGCAATTGTTGTGCATTTGTCTTGTGTATGATATTTCCTATTGCTCAAAAAGTTAAGAACACATTGGATTTGTGCTGTATCTGCTGTGGCACTCCTCGCAGAGCAGGCAGGGCAGGCACCAAAGAAGGTTCTTTTGCTTTGACACCTGCTTATCATACGAGCTCACACTTCTATATTGCTAATATAAAATGACAACACAAAACTAATGAAGACTTGTATGAAAATGCTTTTATTTGGCTGTTGTTTCGGTTCGATGTAGTAGACAATGCCCTGTGTGCATGGCTCGAATGACCAGAAAGCAAGCATGTAATGAGCGTACACAAACAATTAGAGCAGATGCTCAATAAATGGAACCTAAAGGGACGAGTAAGATACATTCTGTTTAACAGGACTTCCATTTACTGTTAGGTGAACAGGAGCTCGGAATGCAAGAACGAAAGTAACCTTGTCGTAAGTGATTGTTTGATTTAAGCAATAGTTCAGTTTAGTAGATATCCATTTACTGATTGTTTACTGTAATTGTTTGCAATGATGCCCATGAGGTGACGAGCAACTGTTTATCAAGTCAACTAAGTTTTTGCATTGAAGGCTCCTCCTTTAAAATCCTGTTTTTGCACGAATAGGCAAGTGACTGTAGCTTGCATGCCTATGCATTCTAATGGAGAGTCTAGCATGGGGTGCCTGTCTCCATGTGAAAGCAGTGGATTGGTTGATTGATGGGACAAGTTGTCACGCTAAATCTTCTGAGCTTTAGAGGGAGCTGTGCTGTTCTGTGCACAAACCTTATGTTGGCACCCACAGGTAATAAACAGTGGCTTGCCAGCATCCTAGCTGTAAAAATGCGCTCATGCGTACGGCCGTCTATGCTCGCTTGCATTCTGCTGCTACGCACTCGCTCACCATGTCGAAACGTGATGACCTTAGACATAGATGCATCACGGCTCCTTTGTGATGTTGCGACACGTTTATCGGCTCTATATTGCCGCAGCCATGAGAAATTTGCCACGCATTCCTGTACTTCATTTACTATTTTCACTTAATATTGTTTTCACACCTGGTTTTATTGTTCAGCATAATTAGAAAATCTCTCGTTTTGTTCCTATGGGACTGTAATGTACATGAGGACGCATTTAGCGTCATTTTGGGGGGCTTGCCAACATTGCTTTATTACTGCTCGGCACATTTATAATGATTGCAAGTTGTATGCAGCTATGTTGTGCACAACTTTGTCAATGGGCATCAGTTTATTATTTCATAATCCTCCTAAAGCCCCCCGAAAGGATGTTATACACAGTCTTCGGCCTGTGATGCCCTTAGACCGAAAAATTCAATGTAATACAATGGGTATTACGTAGCAAGAAAGATGCACAACATAAATCGTTATTGGTGCAATGTAAGACAATGGTATATGAAATAAATAAATTGAGCTATATACGCAACTCAAAGAGAATATGGAATACATTGTAGAAATGAAAATTAGAAAACAGAAAACTTACTATGAAAACATAAATTGAGGGCACTAACAGTTAGAGTACGCAAGGAAAAGAAGTCGGGAATCTTTAAGCGCACGCTGCAGTTGAATAAATATGAATAAGTCTCAGCGGCTGGTATGCAAATATTGAACTCTTTCGTTACCACACGAAAATGGTTATTTTCCATGTGTTTCTAGAAGATTGTTTTTGCAAGTCCGAAAAGTACTCCGGCATGAATTGTAGCATACCAAATTTCACACAACGAAATGCTCTTTCCAAAAAATACATGTTTTAAAGCTACTGAGATGTTTTGGAATGAATAAAAATATAAAAAGTGTGTGATTTTTGATTGCCAGCTGGTAAACAGTGCAAGAAAAAACACTATGTGCAGAACAAAGAAAATTCAGAATATACATTAAAAAAAAATGACCCGAGAAGAGCATAAAAAACACGAAATGTTGTACATAACATTTCTATTCACATGGACGAAGCAAATCGAACCGTGGTGCTCCTTTGTTGCTCGAGCCATGCAGCGAAGCATTGCCTGGTTTTACGTGAGACACAAGTGAACTCGTACACATTTTTCGGTAAATGCTTGTTTTCTTGGGATAAGAGCTTCCAGGTGTTCCAGTATGAATGAATGCCCATGATATGAATAGTCCCTCTACAAATCAGGTGTATAATGAACTTCGCTATTTTGTCTAGCATCGCCTTTTTTCATAAACCACCTTGCCCCGCTGAGGTTGGCATTCCTATATATGCATCCTAACATTTTTAGCATCTTGTACATCATATTAAAAAAAACAATATCGCGCTCAATTCTGAAATGATTCGCGCTGCTTCGTAGTTGGGGCAAAATGTGCTTTGAGAACCTTCTTGTCGTTTAGACGCTCTTGCAGCGAGCACCAACACACCGCGTCCCTGCGAAGTGTGGACCTCGCACGTAACCAGAGTAGCTATAAGATTGTGCACAAAGGCAGCTACACACTTGTGGCGAAAGAGACAACTTGAGCCCGTAAGCAAAACAAACCCATGAATGTCTGTGGATGTCTAAGGCAGACGCAAAACACCGTCTTCATAAAACTTGAAGCTGAGGTGCTCTCATCCTCGAAATCTAAGCTCCTCCTCACTCAGTTCAGGTGGGGTTGCAAGACAGTTTCGAGTGGCGCATATGTTTTGCAGCGCTCCCATGCGCGCGTGGGGACTATGCCAAAGGAGTGACTAGTGTCACTATATGTGACCTTGTGTCTGACATAACGATACAAGCAAAACCAAAGCTGCTGAAAACTGGCTGAGAAGGCCGTCTCGATATTTTAGACATGCAGCGGACCATCAGAAACATTTTTTTCTAGAATAAATTGTCCTGTACTCCTGGAAACAGCTGTATTGAATAGCTGGCATAAATTTCTGGCAATTATTATTGCTAAACACTATCAAAGTGCAAAGCTGACACTTTAATTCAATATTTGGCTAGCAAAGGTTCCTTTCATTACATAACTTCAATGTTACTGCTGTGTAATCATGAGGGGCACACACTTTTGTCAAAATCACCAGCCTAGTTCACTTTTTCAACAATACAAGCACATTGGTTCACTCAAAGGTCTGTCAGAAATCACTATGTTGCCCGAACCCGCAAATATCAATTGATTCTGAAAGTTGAGTAGCTGGGCTAACTACTAAAAAGGGCTGGGTGCACAAGAAACAAATTTGACATGCTGAGATCGATGATCCAAACGTCAATCACCGGTAATCAACTTGAATAGGTGTGATAACAAAATAGTTATCGAATGATCACATCAGGAAAAGTATACGCTTATAAACCTCAATATAACGAACCCAGATATAACAAAGCATTGGTTATGACAAAGTAAATGGAGAATAATCTTGCAATAAACATAGTGCAAAGATTATATACCTTTATAAATAATTTTCTGGTTATGACGAACTTACCTTTGTGTAAGATGCAAGTTCGTCATAGTGCAGTTTCAGTGTGCACTGAGTGGCATATAAAGCAATAGTAATAGAAAATGGGGTGAATACCCTTCCAATTGTTTGCGCAGGTGTTCCGAGCCATTTGGTCCAAGCCAGCAGAAGTGCAGCTGCAGCGACTGCCCGGAGGTGTGCATTCCCCTGGAGGCGCCACTGCTGCCGCCCCCGCCGGAGCCGTTCACGATGGGTCACTACGATGGCATGCTGGTTGTGTCTATGCTGCTCTTTGTCCTGCTCAGCACCACCGTGCTGAGCACGTTCTTCCTCAAGAGTCACAAGAGGAAGACTTCCTTTCAAGGTACACTCATACCTCAATATAAGAAAATTTCGCTTATAACTAAGTAAATGCAAAAGTCTTGCCATAGATATAAAGCAATAAATAAACCTGATTTTCATGTAATATGCAACTTTGTTATAGAGAAGTTTGAGTGTATTGCATTGCGGTTCTCGCGTCACATGGAGAGAACCTTTCTGAGCTAGCTTAGTCTCTTTAGTTTGAGGCAAAAGGACGCCTAAGAAGCTGTACGAATTGTACCGCAAGAATGGCGCGTGCTTCTCACATTCTGCAACAGTTCTTTCGATTTAATATCCTTGATTGTGAGCCTCAATCTATCTGAATTGGGTGAACACAATATAACTAAACAGGCCTACTTTTCTCGAGCGCAAATCTTGGCGGGATACTGAACAGAGCTTTTGCTGCCGACATTTCTGGCCCGAATGAAAGCTTGGTTGCTAAAAGTGCTTGGTACAGTTTTGTTTTCAAGCAGAGACTTGTGGAAAATAATGAATAATACGTTTTTTGGATTCGATTGCACTTAGCGGCCACACTAAAAGATGTGACTTTGTAAAATACCAGTCAGTGTTCCAACCATGCCCTGTGGTTGCTGACTCATATCTAGCAACTGTTTACCAGATATGCACTGGGCTTGTACACTGGCATGTAACCGTAGCTCACTGACAATCCTCCGAACATACAAAATACAGCAGTCTCTTTGAAAAATGTGAAATAAAAAGTGTGTATCGGAAGAGTTGGGTCTTCAGAGTCAAATTTTTATGCTTTCCTAAATTTTTCGTGGTTTCGTTCAGTATCTCTACAAGTAACCTTCTGGAAGTGCGAGCTTTGTGGGTGTGGAACCTTACTGAAGTAAAACGTACCTGTGTTTTGGTCATTGCTTACTTTTCTGAGAACAATCAATTACCATAATTTGCAGACAATAGTGCATATCCAGAGTTTTTTCTTGGAGGCCATTTTCAGCTTTAAAAAATGGTTTCATAAGCTTTTTCATATTATTTTAGGTTGTCATAGAGGCAATTCTTGTGTGTAAAGTAGTTTAGTTGTGATGGCCACTGGTACCATCAGTGAAGCTGTCAGCTTTGCTTTGTTTCTTTTTCCTTCTTTCTTTCTTTTGACAGGCTGCGTTTTAGAACGTTTTGTAACTGTAGACTGTAGATAAAAAAAAATGGCTATCAGTTGAAATTGACATACTTTCAAAACTGCAGTTCGTCATGCATATTGTAATGTGTGTGTGTGTGTGTGTATAGTGGCATGTTCAGATTCAAGGAAGTGCTGAGGAGCATCCCACATCAAGCAGGAATTATTTGCCTTTCTTTATTTGTTGAAGATGCATGGCCAAGAATTTATGCGGTGAAAATTTTGACTCTGAATTTCACTGCCCCAGTGAAACGAGCAACAATATAAGGCTGATTATCTGCCAAAAAAATTGCAAATAAAACAAGAAAAACAAAATTCTATATAACTAGTCCTAACTCAAAGCATATGCAGCATTGTAAACACAGGAATTCAATTCAGGCATTCGACATAGGTATTCCACATAGGTATTCGACATAGGTATCCCACATAGGTCTTCTACATAGGTCTTCTACATAGGTCTTCCACATAGGTCTTCCACATAGGTCTTCTACATAGAGCTTTGCTTCATACTTGTGCATAGTAAACTGCAAGTTCCTTATGTTTGGCACAGTCACTTGTTTTCGTGTGTTTATAGCAAATTCAAAGTTGTTTGCCAACTTCGTGTCTCTTGTTTTGAAGAAAGCATCTTTTTATTTTTTTATTTCTTTTAGCAGGCTATATGTCGAGAAGGTTTTTAATTGTAGACGGTAGAGAAGAAACAGCTACCAGTTAGGGTTCCATGTGGTTCTCACAGTCTTGACGATATTTTCTTCTACAAACACAAATTCTCTCCTTGATTGGACTTGTCTTGCAGTGCAGAGTAATCCAGGACTCTCGAGCTCTTGGCCGCCATATTCTTTAAATGTGCGGTCATGTGCACACAGATTATGTCAAATTGACAGGCTTTCAAAACTATGCGGTTTGTGATGCATATTGTAATATGAATGTGTACAGTACATAGCATGTTCAGAATCCAAGAAGTGCTGCAAAGCAGCCCACATTCCTTCTGTTCTTCAAAATAAGAAACTCACAGTACCAAGTGTTCCTGCACACGCACACACACACGCACACACACACACACACACACACACACACACACACACACACACACACACACAAAAAATGAAAATTGCGGAATTTACTTGATATCTTGACACAAGCGAAATTCTGCCCGCTCATGTTTACACAAGGAGTCTCACAGATTAGCTTTTGTGCTTAGGTGTGTACCTGCAGGACTTCATTGTGTAAATATGGGCCCATAGGTGTAACTTGATGCTATTGCAAGGCTTTGACACCTTGAATACTTTGAAATCAAATGTGCATAAACAGTGACAGTCCTATAATGTAGATATAGGCAACTCTATTGTTAACAGCAACATTTACAGCCCTTTCTCTGCATATTTCTTAAACGTCATTACTTTCTTACATAAAGTTCTGTTGACTGGCTGTAGTTTGTTGCTCACTTTCAGTTGACTTGAACGTTAATCTTTCTTTTAGGAAGTGTTCAAGGAGCTGAAGAAATCGTTTGCATTTTTGCATTTTCCTCGTGCCTAACAGCTTCATTAAAAAGAAAAAAGAAGTGCATGCAATTCCTACCCTAAATGCAATAGGTAGCGTAGTGCGTAGCCCGAGAATGGCACTAAGTAACCTTTCAGATTTGAAACACTTCATGCTGTTTTCCAATCCCACCCCTCCCACCTTCCTCCGCCTGTCGTCCTTGACGCCGTCATCTTGCCCTGACCCGCCGCCCCGAATCTTCTGAACCTGTGGTTGCTCCTCCCTTGCCCCACCACCGTCGTCGTCACAGTGTCGAACTCGTCGGAATCCAGTGTGTCGGACACGAGCAGCAACAGCAATGACACGATCAGGACCCCGCTGCACAGGCCCTCAAAGCCGGCGCGCACGATTTTGTTGCAAGCCGTGGATCTTGGCTCCCTTGAGGAGGTGGAACCTCTCAGATCAAAGCGCTCAAGTATGTTATTGGCTCAAAAAGAAAACACGCAACAACCCTCCTCTCCCACTACCGCTCTCTCATCCTCCTCTTCACCTCCTGGCTTACTTCTTTCTCACATTGATTGTGTGTCTTTCTTCTTCTACACAGTCCGCTTTCAGCTCTAGCTCCCTTGTGGCTGAGCTGCTGTCGCTACCCGCCTCGTTCACGATCTGAAGGAAATTGCCTCACTAAAGTGACACTGCTGCAACGTGAAGCGCACGCTTTTACAGTGGTGATATCGCAAATGGCTTGGCACAGCCCAAAATTGCGTGTTTGACAGACGGATTAGATGGGGGTCAGATTACTCGGATTTGAACAGCCACGTTTTTTTCTGCATTAGAGATGCAGTGCACACATCGTGGTGCCTCTGCAGCTTTATTGTCCTGCTCCTACTGGTTATGAAATAGCCGTTGTAGCTCATAACTAGAGTAGGTATGATTTCTCTGCAGTTAAAGACAAAAAAGCTATAGTTTGGCAAGCTTCAAATGCATGTTCTTAAAGAAATTCCCTCAACACCGCTTTTGTTAAGGTATTTCTCGTAACGCTATGGTTTAGATGGAAGCCCGTCTGGTTGGAAGTAACCTCATACAAATTAAAAGAGGGACACCAACCATGAAAAAGATGTTACGGCTACTTTGATGGAAGTTTTGTTGAGAATGAAATCAAGGCTGTTTGAGGGAATGTTTCTTAAGGCTGGAATGTGCAACATAAGCAGTGGGTATAGAGATGTGGAAAGGCTCCGGCATTTCTGTTCAGTATGTAGTTCGGTTTAATGTATGTTCAACTTCATGTGTTGAATTCTGCCAACCAGTCAATAATCAGTTTAGCTGATCACCTGATCTTCCAACCCAGCAAATCAATCTGACCCCTTGAGAGTAAAAAAATAGTAGCTTGTCAAAAAAACTGCACATAAAATACTGTTAGAGTCAAGGGCGGCCATGCTACAGCAATGGTGTAAATGGAAAAACCTAATGCGCTCAATACTGGATATTGTCACGTGCGTCGTCGTCACTGGAATCCACAGAAGACGAGGGTGCGGCAGACAAGGTTTATTAATAAGGAGGCGTACTTGTGCCTCTCTCTTAGGACACAAAAGGAACTCTAACAGGATCGGAGCGGCGTGCCCATGCACAGCTGCCCTTCCACCAAAGAACAACCCACAGCTTACGCGCTGCCAGTTATTTAAGCACTGAGAAGACAACACAGAACATGCACACACCTATAATCAGATACTGCACTGTCTGATACGATGGGCCCATCGGAAGTTAATCGCAGTCCGCTCTAGCCTATCTAAATGATGCGATGGCTGTCGCTCTATAGTGGCAGCTGCGCAGAACGGCATGGCACGTGGCATTATGTGTACTACAGAGCTTTTTCTAATTCAAATCGTATACTTTTCACAAGATGAAGGGAATGTATATTGTGTTTCAAGCATAGGGTCAGTAGCTGCTGCCTGTATGTTTCCATCTCCTTCTGATTTGAGCTGTGCCAAAACTAGTGCTAGAAATGATCCATTAGTCTCATGGCAGGCACTACAATAGCTGCATTAGCTGTACTAAAGCTAGCTTACGCTGTTTATCGATGACCAAAATGCTGTAGAGTCTGTTCCACTAAGTGTATGAAATTTCATGCATGGAAAGCTGTGCTCAGCTTGCAGCCTGCTTGTAATCTCTTGGATATTACACAAAAATGTATACATAAGGCTTAATATTTAGTGAGCTTTTGCAAAGCCACCTTTGTACAATAGTTTTTACCCTAATTAAAGGTAAGGAGGAGTATAGGTGTGCAGTCAGCAAAATTAACGCGAACTCTCCCCAGTGTGGCCTGAAACAGTTCGACTGACGCTAGCACTGTGTAGCTTTGGGTTCTGTTGCCGAGATGTTACAGACGCATGCCGACATACTACTATCCAAGCATATCGTGGCGTTGGCTCGGCAACAGAGCCGAGCGCTTTGTGACTGGCTTTAGTCGGAGTCGTTCAGGTCATGCGTCGGAGCATTCGTGTTTAGCTTGTTGACGACTGTACGTTAAAACGTCCATTTTATGAGCTGCATTGAAGTGGCATCACTTCAGTTTGCAGGAAGTTGGTGTTCATCAGAGTCCTTATTAAAAAAAATTAAGAAAAAGGTCCTATGCAACTCGTAGTTTCCTTCAGATTCGTGCGCCATTCTTTTCTTCTGTCCTATCTGTGCTCTAATCCGGGGACAGCACGGCCTTTGTGTTGTGCCCAGTCTGCCCCGTGTTTGTGTGTTTGCATACAGTTTTATTTTGTGTATCTTTATGTGCGTGCGTGGTTGCTTTCGTGTGGGTTGAGCTCCGCTCCCCATTGTGGAAAAAAAAAGTTTCAGTGCACAGCGTCATGTGCATGTGGTGTTTTTTTTTTTTTCTGCCAGTCCTAAGAGCACCCTTCCCCCTCATTGCGTCGTTTCAATCTGAATGGCATCATGGCTAATGTACTATATGGGAATATGTAAAATAACACGTTACATTGTGTGGCTGACATTTTTTTAACATTGTGCATTTCACAGCCATGCTGGCTATGATTACTATTTTTATTGGGTGCAGAGCACATCGACTCATTCAAGGCCAGCATAGTGATTCTTTTTCCCAAGGTTTCCATGTATTTGCATATAAACCCTCGTGCTGATGGGGTTAGGTTTTGAAAGGATGTTCAATGAAAGAAAACAATTTTGGAAGAATAAGAGTGGGTCTTGCATATGATGATGATCCTTGTAATACTGGCACACAGCTATAAAGGGGGATCGGCCAAGAACAGGGCGGCAGGATTTTCAAGTTAAAGGCTTATGGTTTTACAATTTACAAATGCAAAGTAACTTTGGACTATATATATATAAATGCATACATACATACATGCAGAAAGAAAGAAAAGCCAATTATCGAAAGGAGTACATCTGAGCAAGGATGCAGGCTATCAGATGTGATTTGAGGCAGGTAGTGATGAGTCCAAAACGAATGATATAAGTAAAATAAGAAAATGCACACACCTTTTGCCTTTTCATAATGTCTGTATTTTTTATTTTTTGATCATTTTAATTCAAAGAGGGTTTCATGTTTGTGCCATTGGTGGCTCGTCTCTTACTGACTCGACTTAAATTTCTTAATTGTGATAGGCATTCACTAATGGGACGCCGAGAATAATGTTTCACGGTCCTCTTTTGCTCTGGTGGCAGTCTTGTGTTTTCGTCTTCCATGTCTTGTTGTCACTTCACCTAACTCGCCTGACGCCGACGATTTACTAACAAGCATGAGCAAATGACGCAACCTTGACATTGTGGCAGAAGCTGCGTCTCTCGCTGCAGTTCTTCGTTCATGTTCGCTTAGGAGGGCCCTGCGGAGAAAAATTTTGTTTGCGTCCGTGCCTCAATCCACTGGTTAAATAAAGTTTGCTCACTCATCAGTTAATTACCTTCCTGAACACCCAAAAGCACCAGCTGTCGAGCGAAGACGTTGAATAGGCTAGGCTGATCAGCGTGCAAGAAGCTACAGATGAAATCAGTTTTTATTTTCTACTCTGTAATACAGAAAGAAAGGACTGTGGAAAAAAAGCTGTTTTGAAACAGCTTGACTAGTTCACAGCCCCATACAAAAAAGTAACAGGAAAAATAATTAAACTAAAAATTAGGAGCGGCAACAGCATCGCGGTGAAACATGAAAGAAGGTAACAACACCTTGACACTCTTATAGCAACTTGCTGTGATGTGCAATAGACTTTGACGCCACCTGCCAGGGCTCGCGCAAGTCTTCGTCGCTTGTCGGATAATGTTCTTCCTAAGGAAGCGAGCGACAAAACGGCGTGCCAGAGGAAATATTATGGAACCTATGTGGTCAAAGTATGCAAAAAAATCATTTTTTTTAATACCCCTGAAGAGAGATTGCCATCAGGAGACCCTGAAAGAATGAATAAGTTTAGAATGATAAGTTATTATTGTGGAATTTTTAAGGTTAATTTTACCAGCATAGGTTTATTGATAGAAGAAAAGCCTAAGGTCGAAGTTTCATTTCTAAATTTTGTGTATACATCAAATGTCAGCATTGCATAACTGACTTTGATGTGTTCAGTTTTAAGGTACAGTGTCACAGAAGAAGTGTGGGTTGTGACACGTGAACACTCTGCCCCCCCCCCCTTCTGTCCCCCCCCCCCCAGACATGCCCCCCTCTCCTCCACCAGGGGTGATGTACTTTATTTACCAATTGGTACCTTCATGGGCCCCTTCAGTCTGGGATGTCACAGCAAGTTGTTTCGAGAGAGCCAAGGTGGTCTCACTATCCGCATTATCCTTCACCTCTTCTCGCTTACCAGGCGTGTTCTTGTGGTGAAGACAGTGCTGTGGGTATTTGTGGAAGGGTAGTCGCTAACACCAGGCAAATAGATTTTCTATTTAGTGCACCTTTGCTGTCACTCTGGGCTTCTTTGATTGTATCTGACTCTTGCATTCCGGGAACGCCTGAGACACTGAACACGTTGACTTAAGCACAGCCTTGTGCTACCCTGGACTGTCGGCGATGGCTTATTGAAGAAGTCTTTTGTCATTTACGTAGGTGCTGATTGCACTTCAGTGCAGGAATTCAAAGAAAATGAAACTGCAATCTTTGTTTTCTCTCTTCATAATAGACTTGTAGTCTATGAATAAATGACAGTACAGTTCTCAAACAATTGTACAGTCTAATCAAAATTAGCTTTTCACTTTTGTGTCCCATTAATATGCACCTAGCCTATGGCTGCATTTTATCGTGTGGTAGGTGCTGTTAGCAACAATAAACCTTACTTAAAATTTTGTGCTGCTTCGAATAGTTTGCATGGCAAACATGCCTCTTAAAATTTCAAAACCAGCATGTCAGGTTATGGCAACATAAAAGGAAAGACATACTGTAATAGAAGCTTTGTTATTCCTTTTGCACATGCCACTGCGTTACTGACTGCAAGTATGCATTTGTTCCAAATACACCAACACACTACCTAACTGCAGTCATTTTCTTTGATTTCAAACTTCCACCTTTAATATTTTACACAGTGCAGCCTAACGTATGCTTTTAGAGAAGTAGTTGCATTTTTTTTTTTTTCAGTTGGCAAAATTTTAGTTCAGTTCATCTGACCTCCTATGTTACTCTACCTTTTTTTTCCTGTAACATGCAGTGCTTCTGCATCCAGAATTGTTCTTTGTGCTTGAATTTCCAGCTTCTCCGTGCAATTTTGTTTGCACTACTATGCTTTTCTTATATCCTTTCTTTTTGTGTTTCTTTTTGTTGCTTTTTCTTCAGTGTGCTGGCAATGTGAGCTTGCAGTGCTTGCAATAGCATAATGGATCTATGTGCGTCATCACACAAGCAGTTGCACAGTTGTAGCTGATATGCGACTAGGTATCGCTTAGTTCGTTCTCGTTTGGGTACGATTGGTTCATTGCATGGAAGGTAGCTTTTGAGTCTTCCAAAAAGAACAAAAAGTACAATATTCAAGGATGCAACAATAATAAACGCATCAAAAGATACACAAACTGAATAATGCAGTAATAAGCACCCAAAACGATACACCAATTGAATAGTTGCAGGCTTTCCCTGTTGCTTACTATATAGAATTACTTCCTAGTTGGTATTGTGTAGCCTGTTAGTTTTGTTGCACTGTCTTACACCCATTGTAAGTAATTCATAAAGGTGACAGCTGAAAGGTCATGTTGCAGGCTTTAGTACTTCAATTAAATTTACGAATGTCTGTACCCTGTTACTGTGCAATAATTCATTGTACGTCAATTTTTCTATTTGTCACAAGAATCCATATTTCATTGCGTGCTGTCGTAGTGTTGCTAAGGGCACTGCTTGTATCTGCACAATTATGTTTCCTCCGCCATAGGAAGTAACCATAAAAATTGATTAGTGAAAAAATGTCTTGATGACGCATCGGCAGGAACAAGAATATAGTACTATAGATGACCAGTGTCTTTCGAGGCACAGACAATAAATAAGGCAGGGACTGTGATTGCTTCTCACAAGGTTCTCGCAGTATCGATTTCCCAAATTCAATTAGTATTTTGCAATCATGGTGTTTCAAAACTTCGCGACACTTTGAATAGATTATGATACTCGCGCAGGCAATACACTATGCTGCTGAAGTACGGATAATGTACACTTTATGATCAAAACTATCCTGACTTTATACAATAGTTCATTCACTGACAATGAGGAAGCTTACAAATGCTGCCTAACCAAAGGAAAAAGAAACCAGTTTTGCTTTTGTGTGTATGCGCATGGTCATTTTGTGTTGCTTTTTATGTGCGCTATTTTGTTCCAGCTTTTTGTGCTCAAGCCCTCTCTACTAATGCTTGGCTGGCCATCACAGTTGGGAGCCAAGATCAAAAAAGTTTTGAAAACTAATTAGTTCCCTCGGTGGCGAGTCATTGCGCCTTGCCAGTTTTCACCCATTTAACTCCTTATGAATAAAAATAAGCCATTGTTGAGGCACTTCACATTTATACAAATTCTAAATGTGTCCTAGCTCCTGCCATTTCATGAAACTGGTACACTGTGCACAAAATTTTTTCCCCGAGAATTTTATTGCCCATCTTTTTCTTTCTTATGCGATTCTTAAAGGGAAAAGAAGAGAAAAGTGAGCCCCGTAACTGTATGCATCAAAGTGCGACACCTCAACAGTAGCTCACAAGGAATAGTGGTAAGGAGCGAATAAAAGGATGAAATTAAAAGGTATATATAAAGAGAGGAAGGAGAGAGTGAGGCGCAGGGACAGCGAGCGACGGAAGTAAACCTTCTGGATTGATCTAGCAAAGTGTTCTAATGATAATGACCTTTTAGGGTGCTCTCAGTACCACATTCAAGCACTTTGTGCCTCTGTGGGTAAGTAATTAAGGGATCTTGTTAAGTGTTGTATAATGACTACCGTAATTACTCGAATCTAACGCGCACCCTTTTTCCGGTTAAGCGAGCTCATAAATCGCATGCGCGTTAAAATCGAGTGCGGAAAAAAAAAATGAATACGGTCATTCTATTGCCATTGGCATTTCCAAAATGGCTTGGCCCCTTACGTGCTTCGGCATGGTGCGTCGGCCATTTCTGCCTATGTGTTTCCCATGTGCGGCACTTCGTACGTGTGCTGAGGAGTTCGTCATCTTGTAGTTCATTAGCATCGACAGCATGGAAGGGCCGACTCCAAAAACTCGACGAGTGCACCACAATGCCGCTTTTAAAAGAAAAGTCATCGCGTGTGCCGAAACAGATGGAAATGAGGTCGCATCGCGGTCGTTCGGAGTTCCCGAAATGTGCGTGCGGGACTGGCGGAAACCAAAGCAGAAGATTCTCCACAGCAAAGATTCACGCAAAGGCTTCAGTGGACCACAGCAGGGTCGGTTTTTGCAAATTGAAGAGCTGCTGGCCGAGTATGTGCTTGAGCAGCGAGCGGCACAGCGGCCCGTGACGACAGAACTGCTCTAAGTGCGGGCTATGCTGTTAGCTTTAGAAAAAGGGCTGACGCGGAGCCAGTTCAAAGTGAGCAGGTGCTGGCTAACTAACTTTATGAAGAGGAAAGGCTTTTCCCTCCGAAAGCGAACGGGCATGGGCCAAAACTTGCCGGAGGAGTATGAAGAAAAGCTTTACAGTTTTCAGAGGTTTGTCCTAAACTTGCGGCACAACAACGGCTACCTGCTTGGGCAAATCGGGAATGCCGAAGAGACGCCTCTTTACTTCAACATGCCTGGCACCACAATCGTCGAGAAGGGGGCGAAGCTAGTTCGCATGCTGACATCGGGCCACGGTAAAACAAGAGTGACGGCAATGCTCCGTTGCACGACAGATGGGCACAAGCTTCCCCCGTACCTCATATTTAATTGGAAGACGCTCCCAAAAGGACTCGTTTTTTCGAGGGGTGTAATCCTGCGGGCCAATGAGAACAATGGGTACGCGTCGCAATCGATGTCTTACTTTTTTTTTTCGTCATAGAACCCGGGTGCGCGTTACAATCGAGGGCGCGGTAGAATCGAGTAGATACGGTAATTTGAATACAGCACGTATATTTTCCATCCAGCTTTGAAGTATTGAAGTAGGATACAACCACACTGTTTGTTGTTTGCCTCATTTTGTGCTTAACGCAACAGCCTTGGCGGCTAGATGAGTAATTTAATGACAGAGTATAGCAGTTCTTTGATGTCTCTAGAAATCTATCAGGTTAGCTTTATTGAGTTCCCTAAATGGGGAACAAGCTATCGATGCTTTAAAAACGGAGAAATTGCTTTGCTGAAATGTTTTCCGAGATATGAAGCAAACAAAGTTTTCATAAAATTGAAAAAAAATAATAGGCACCGTTTAAGAGAGACTGACATGCAAGACACTAAGTCTCTCTTGAAGAAAAATTGTCTTTGCTGGGCTTGGTGTTAATCCTGGTAACTGTGTGCCTGTACTTCAAACCATCTCAGGTTGGAGCGCACTCCACTCTAGCAGAGGACAACAGAGTGTGTGTGCTCTTCTGCGCAGTGGATCTAGTGGCAAAGCAGCTCCGAATTCGCCATTAAAAGATACTTGAGGCACTTACTGTCTAGACTGGCTCTGAAAGGAACAGGAAACCCGTTAGTGGAAGGGCTTCAAATCTTCTACCAAACAGTCGCCATGATTTAATAGTAATGAAGTGCATTTTTTTCTACCCTGTTTACGATCTGTAACTTCTTAAGATTCACATCTATACTATATGTCCGAGATACTGTCTGAAAGCCATAGTATCTTGATTTAAAAGCTTGTCATTCAAGGCCCACCGGTAATATGCCGTGCTTCTACACTTTAGTACCTTTGTCGATGATGGCTCTTGTAGCTTGTTGGTTTTGAGGCGGTCAAAATAAACCAGTTAAAAGCTTATTGGTTTAGTCGTATTATTAGTTCATATGGGTCCATGTGCTCGCACCCTAATTACATGTACATTGTGTTACATTGCACGTTGTGAGGACTGTGCATGATGAAGCCAATACGCAACAGTGTCTAAATAAATCCATACTTTATGACTGTAGGTTTCTCCTCCAGAAGCCTATGATTTAACAGCAGTATATCGTACCTGCATTTTAATTCCACCATTCCCAATGCAAGTGTAAGTTCTTAAAGCAAACAAACTAGAAAACCAAAAAGCACTTCACAGAAACTTTTGATAATGTGGCTACTCGGCTGCAAGGGCCCAGATAAACGCCATGACATGGAACTTTTAAACAAGAATTCAAAATTTCGTGGAGCTTGTGTGCTTAGTTCTTTTGCTGTTCAGCTGATAGATATGACAGATTGTTCAGGATGCAAGTTATTTTGAACAATAATAATCAATAAAGAGTTATAGCTGGGAGTCGATGCTCTCCGAATCGACCGAAGTTAGCGTTAGCGGGCAAGTATTAACGCAGCTACATCTGTTATGAACATGACAATGGTGTGACGGACTTGGGTCATGCGCGAAGGAATTCAAGCTCCGCAGTTGCACTGATTGTGGTGGGTGTTGGTGCCTCCCCACCAATCGCTTGCAGTGAGCGGTCAAAACTATCCCTACTCTCCGAGCCAATCGCCTCCAGGCTCGCCCATCGCCCTGCGGCCCTCGCCGCTCTCCGGCGATGCCGTGGACGGTGCCATCAACGGCGTTGTTAACGGGCTCGGTAATGGCGTGGCCAACGGGGACGCCGTGGCGTCCAAGGTGGTAGGTTGGCAACATCGGTGCAAGTGTGGAGCCACAGGTGCGCACGCTCTCGTCGTTCGGCGCGACCATGGAGCGGCTGCTGCAGGCGGGCTTCCACCGTTGGGGCTTGTTTGTGGCGCGCAACCCCATGCTGGTGATGATGGCCGCCCTGGCCGTTAGCGTGCTCCTCTCGTTGGGTCTTCTGAAGTTCACTGTGACTACCAACCCAGTCGACCTCTGGGTGTCCCACAGCAGTCTGGCCCGCAAACACATGAACTACTTCAACACTCACTTTGGGTGAGGCATCTTCCTCCATTCTAATGGGTACTCTGATCACTGCCTTTGAAGTTTTGTCGTGGTGTTTTATTGCTAGCACTTGCATAGAATTGTGGTGTCTTAGAGCAGAAAGTGGGCCAGACGTGAAGCGCTGTAGTAATGAGACCTTTCATGATGTTACTGCTAATAGCAGTACTACTTAAGAACAGTAAGGACATAAAGTATTCATTGTATTAGTGAAAGTAATGTGAACCATAAAAATTTCAACGATTTAGATATTCATATGTATACTGTCAGCGTTATTAAAGGGTAGCTGGCATTGCTGTATGTGTGCATATACATACACACATTAAGTGAAAAATTTTGGGGGGGGGGTTGGACCCACTGCTCATCCTACTTTTGGCTACGCCCGTAGTTTATTTCAACAAACACTAATTGTTCTTGTCTCGAAACAAATAATGTAGTGCAGTATATAAAATATACACTTTCAGAATGCACTTTGTCTTGTTCGCAGCTGATGTTAAGAGAATATGTCTAGTGTCGATAACCTATTCAAAACCATTAACATACTTACAGTGGCCATTGACATACGTATGGTATCTTTATATCATGTGACGTACGTATAACATAGGGATGAATAGACGTCGTGATGTCAATTGATATGTGAATGTGTCGGGCTTCTCTCGCAGTCCTTTCTACCGTGTGGAGCAAATCATCCTGCGTCCAAAAGCCCAAGACTTCTTCGTTGTGGAGAAGGCTGGCGTGAACAAGACGTTCGGTCCGGCTTTTGAAAAGAACTTCATGATGGAGGTACTGCTTCGTGTGCATGTTTGTCCCTTCGTTATGACAACTTAACATTGCAAGGCATATTTCTTTGTAGCTAAACCAAAATCCTGTAAGCCTTTCAGCAATGGTACAAGGCAAGATGTAAGTAATGGTGGGCTACGACCCATGGCTGATGTGACTACAGAGTATATACATTGAACTTGCAAAAATAATTGCAGCCTGTGCTGCAACAGCCAAAGACTTAACAAGGCTTAACTTCCTAACGAAGTTAAGGAAGTTTTGTTGAACCATTGTGAACAGAATTATGGAAAAGAACTTCAATATTCCTGACCTGGCGCCGACACTGATAAGATGCTTCGAAAGTACAAAATTCAGAAATATTTCAGTCTTCGTTTTCTTTTGCAAAAGTGAACTATCGCAAAATTAATGGTACTGCTACATAACTTACAAAATAACCCGAATGCATATATTTGTCGAAGCTGTTGTAGCATTTGTGTGTCTTTTTATTTCCTTGCCTTGTAACTCAACTCTAACTGCTTCAATGAATAAAGTGCCCCTTGGAAGTGTCGTTCATGTTTAACAATAACACAACCAGTTATATGTTTCATAACCAATAAAAATTGTTTGATTATATAGCTATATAGAATAGGTTATGATTGCAAAATGATCTAGTGTTTCAACTTAGGTGTCTTTTTCTAATGGTTTTCCTTTCTTAATATTTATGTTCTTTGCACGCAATGCAGGCACTCAAGCTGCAGTTGGCTGTTGAGGCGGTGATCGGGAAGCTTGGCCCTGACGGTCTGCCTCTTCACGAGGGTGAGGAGGATCTGTACAGGCCAGAGCAACTGAAGAACGTGACCATCTACGACGTCTGTCTGTCGCCGTTGGCACCGCTGAACAAGAACTGCTCGGTGCAGAGCGTGTTCGCCTACTTTCCAAGACAACATCGACAAGCTCAACATGACAGACGGCATCGATCCGCTCTCCTACCTCCACCACTTCGACAACTGCAGCAGGTGCGCGCTGCAATCGAAACTTGTTGCAGGAGACACTCTAGGGCCTGTAAAATATTTCTTGGAAAAAACAGTCGAGCCCGCTTATAACGAACCTCAGCGTGACGCGGCATCCGTTCGTTGTATCCTGAAGTTCGTAGTAAATGAAACACAGCTTCTGAAAAAAGATGCCAGTGAAAACACAAACTTTCTTTTTGCCCCCAAAAGTCCGTGATGTACGTGTTTCGAAGAGCAGAAGCGATAAGAGCGTTCTCGAGTTCATTTAAAACGGCAGTGTGCTCGTTCACCGAGGTCCACGGCATAAGCTGAATGAGGCACTGGCGCCAAAGTTTCACCGTTTTCGCAATCCGATTCTTCCAAATCGCTCTCGCCATGTACTTCAATGACGATGCCCCAATCCGTGCACGGTTCCGCAGTGTCAGGCATCATCATCGGCCGTTATTAAACCATTGCAACAGATGTCCCACCCGCTCTCCCAGGTCAGAGTGGGCGACGCGTTGCCACAAATCGGCGCCGCAGTTCAGAAGCTTCAAGCTCGGCATCGGGCCCAACGTCCATGAAGTGGGCTTCGCGAAAACAGTTTCACGTGCATGTAGTCGTCACCGGTGCCCACGAAAAATTCACCATCTCCACAAATGAATACCGGGATTCCCGAAGCGACGAGTTGGCTGCTAGGTGGTCAACAGCTATGTGCAAGCGCTCCGCAACGCGGCACCTAACGTGCAGATTACGCTCAGGCCAAGTGGTCACACTTTCGACGTTTTGTTGAGCGGCAGGAAGAAGCGTGCTAGACCTCCCGTCGGCCATCATGGCCACACACGCACACCAAGAGCAAGCAAGACGCGCACACGCGACACACATGCCAGAATGCATGGAACAAGTCTCGGCTCGTTTCCAGTCAGAAAACTAAACTAATTCGAGCCAGCGGGGCAGGTGTCACGGAGCGGTGGATTGGTGAAGGGGTTGTGATCAAGAGAGGAGAGAAGAGCAGACTTAGAGAGAAGGGCAAGAAGTTGCGATAAAGAGAGGGGAGGATGCGGCAGGAGGGCGACCTTGAAAACCAAAACACACTGAGAAGGAGGCAGGCTGGGTAGCTTGCTTGAAAGGTCCGCGAAACTCGCACGTAGAAAAACTTGAAAAGAGTGCCTGCACGCTCATAAGTCAAAGCATGGTCTCCTGGATTGATGCGCGGGGCGGTGTTCGAAGAGTGGGCGGCCATGGTGAAAAAATCGTTTTGTTGCACCGGCGGGCTTGCGTGGCTTCACAAACTTTGATATTTCGCGATTGGTTCCGCGCAAATTAACAGCCATTTTAACGCTTCCGCACGCGCGCGGAAGGCATGCTGAGTTGAGTGTGAAGTGAGCGAAAACAAGTCCTAAACACGAAATGAATTGCAAAATATCAGAGTCGGTAGAGTAGCGTATGCGCGTGCACTAGACGCAGACTATCGGATAAAGTCGGTGGCCGCGCCCCGCCGCCGGTGGTCTAGTGGCTAAGGTACTCGGCTGCTGACCCGCAGGTCACAGGATCGAATCCCGGCTGCGGCGGCTGCATTTCCGGTGGAGGCGGAAATGTTGAAGGCCCGTGTGCTCAGATTTGGGTGCACGTTTAAGAACCCCAGGTGGTCGAAATTTCCGGAGCCCTCCACTACGGCGTTTCTCATAATCATATGGTGGTTTTGGGACGTTAAACCCCACATGTCAATCGAAGTCGGTGGCCGAGGATGTTGGCAAATGGTCTGGTCACTCCAGGCCGGCGACGCCAACTGCAGTACCAGCGATCGAAAACAGGGTAGATGGCTGACCAGTCTTCGAAAAATCGGTGGAGTGTGAAAAACGGGCCTCGTCTGGTTATGCGGGGTGCTCAGAGAAGCGGGGGGACAAAGGACGGAGGGGTGTGTAACAAAAAGCAGTCTGGGCTTGGAGGAAGGAAACAACTTTCCTTCCTCCATGGGTTGGGGAGAGCGGCAACTAGAGGGTCTCGGAGGCAGAGTCGGCGTTTAACGATAAGAATGTATGGGCACCTCGCCGATGCCTGATCGGTGGTCGAAATTTGTTTCCCGGCAAGTTGGCAGACCGCTGACTTCGTTAGCTGTAATCGATCAGTGGCGCTCGGAAACGTTAGTTGTAAGTGCGATTTTGTGCCATTGAACCAATGTATATTTTCACGGTCACGCGGATATTGTTCGTTTTAAGCGAAAGTTCGTTTTAAGTGAGTCCGTTATATGTGGGCTTGACTGTATTTTATTCTCTGGGGTTTACTTTTTTTTTTTTCTTGCTTAGTTTTCCTCTAATTGCTGTCAGTCGACAAGCATCGTGCGGTCCTTGTTGTCTGCAATCTCCTCAACACCAGTTCTTTGGTTGCTATTTTATTTGTTTCTGCATTCAGTATTTCTTAGCACACTCATCGCCAAGAGCATGGTTCGGCGGGCTCGTTTCAATGCTCCCTGTTTCGTTGTTGCAGGAGTGTTGCGAATGTGGGCTGCTTCGCGAAATACGGTGGACCGATTGACGACATCTCTCTAGTGTTGGGTGGATTCAATGGCACTGACTTCCACATGGCCACTGCTCTGGTGATCACCATCCCGGTCACCAACTACAATGACGACGCCAAGAAGTACCCGGCCCTTGCTTGGGAGAAGGAGTGAGTATTACATCTATGACGTCTCAACATTTCCTGTACAGTGACTCCCATTAAACGAAACTTGGTTAAACGTAAAAGCCCCATAAACGAAACTATGTAGGCACATTTGGTTGGTCTCCTATATATTTAATAATAAAAAAAGTTTCGGATAATCGGAACATTCTTTTAGCTTACATCGGTTAAATGAAACTATAACAGGTAAAATCCATACACGACGAAGTGGCCATGGCAGTCTAGCAACCATGAAACAAATGCCAAAGCTAGCTTAGCCAAGCCAATCCAGTGATCGCACACATCCACGCGTGCCGAGCAGCAATCCAAGTCTCGTCGTGAACTTGAGGACAGCCTTGAGGAATCTACAGCTAAAGTGCAAGATGAGGACTTGTGTTCAAGTAGTGATGAGATGGTGTGTGATCCCGAGCCCGTTTCGGTGGCTGACAGCGCAGCAAGAGATGCTGTCATCCTGTTTCAACGCTGCTTTGAACACAATGGTGGCACAGGGTTCCTGCCCAGCGTTTCAGCAATGCACTCCTACTATGTGAGAAAGTGCTTGAACAAGGCCAAGCAAATTGTCATCACCTCCTCTTTTCCGAGCCAGCAATATTAGCAACATTCTTCTTTCTAATCAACTATAGTAGCATCAAAATGTTCTTGTTTAGTCGGCCACAGTTAGTGCTTTTGAAATAAAGTCATATTTCATTCATTTTGTGGGCTTTGCTTAAATGAAACTTCTCATAAATTGAACAAATTTTCTTGCCCCTTTGGGTTCCATTTAAGAGGAGTTTACTGTATATACTTCGTGCGCAGTTCGTTTTTATGGTATTCGGTGATGCTTTCTTGTTAGCAAGTTGTGCTTTGCTTTGCATAACAGGCATTTTTTTTACAGGTTCATCAAGCTCATGAAGCGTTACAACAACACGGAACTCATGACTGTTGCCTTCATGGCTGAGGTAACAGTTGCTCCCTTTCTCTTGCAGTAAAACTAAGCTTGCACATATGTGATGCCATGGTGAATGAATATAATGCTAACGATAATATTGATACTGATAAATGTGCACCTTTATTTGACACAATATTACCAAGCACAATGCAATAGGTTTCATTGAAAAAGCAAAGTAGAGCCGATCATCTTTTATATTGCATGGTTTCGAATAAGTGTAATAAGCGGGTATGGATTTTTCTCCACCTGTAAAGTGCTTGGAAATGTAATGTTGTCAAAAGTCACTGTAGTGATGTAGTACCATCATCACATGTATTTATCATAGTTGTGGGTTGCTAAAATTTGGGCATGCTTTACAGTCTCCTTCTGTCAAAGCACATGCCATAATTCACACGCAATTCTGCGTTTCTTCCTCAGCGATCCATCGAAGATGAACTCGAACGGGGCAGCCACTCAGACGTTGTCACGGTTGGGATCAGCTACATCATCATGTTTGCGTACATCGCAATAGCACTGGGTGACATCAACAGTTGCAGTAGACTTCTGGTGAGTATCCTCTTTTTTTGGGGCCCGTTCATCTTGTGCATACTTTTTTGCATGTCAAAGAAAGAAATGCTACAACATGCCCCTATGATACACATTTTTACACAATTACGTTGGCTGCACTTGTGTTATATCTCAGTTGTAGCTCAGTACAATGTTTGAAACAAGGTTGTGGTTGTGCCGGTGATCCTTGCAGTTAGAGTAATTGCCAGGGAGAAACTTTGAGTATGATGACATGGTTGTATTTGCGGACAATATAAAAGAGCAGCTTTCTCAATCTAGGCGCACGAGTTATCTGACTTTCTGTGTTACGGTGCCTGTCACCGGGCAGCGTAAAGATGTAGCTATGCCAACTGAGAGCTATTTCAAGCCCGGCTTGGTTTCCTTAGGTTCAAAAACTCGATGATTGATGTCTTAGTTTTGTCCGCTCTTTTGATGATTATGAAATGCCTTCATCTTTTTCCCGATACCAGACTTAATAACTGTTTCTGGTACGTAATTTGCGCTGCATTGTCTCTCTTTCGCAGATTGACTCGAAGATTTCTCTCGGTCTGGTGGGTGTGCTCATCGTGCTGCTCTCGGTGGTGGCCTCGCTTGGCATCTTCAGCTTCTTCAACGTTGCCGCTACGCTCATCATTGTCGAAGTGATACCCTTCCTCGTGCTTGCTGTTGGTGTTGACAACATCTTCATCCTGGTGCAGCAGTTTCAGGTAGTCTTCCTGACACTGTCCTTCCCTGCATCGGTTCTTGCTGGTTAGCCACAGCAGATGTCACTAGTCTAGAGCTCGTTTATTTGAGTGTGCAAGGGGCATCACTGGTCTCGGCAGACTAGGTGGGAACTTGATGGAAGTATTCGCCTGGCTTTTCCGCCATCCTGTCGCTAAGCCCTACGCCACCTTCTTGCCATTTCAGCGCGATGAACGTCGCGAAGGAGAGACAACGGTGGAGCAAGTGGGCCGTCTGGTCGGAGAAGTGGCTCCCAGCATGATGCTGTCCAGCGTCTCCATGTCGGCTTGCTTCTTTATCGGTGCGTTCGGCATTCTCTTCTCTTCTGCAGCACTTTATGTCTTGGTGTGTATAATTCGTTACTGCTCGACGGATCTGGATGATGAGAAGTTCATGTCTTTGAGAATCTGCGGTCATGATAACAGTAGTGTAGAAAGTGGTCCAGATGGTTTGTGCAATTGCGGTCACGACAGAAACTACGATGGTAGTGCAGGCACTGTCACAGGGACAGCAGGACAGGGACAGCAGGAAAGATAAACTTGACACAGCCCTCTGTTTTGTTGTTTCTGCCAAGTTGTCAGTGTTGTTATGCATGTGTTGGTATTTGCTTGTTATTAGAGTGTTGTTGCTGTTAGCCTGTGCTACCGTCAAGTAGAATGTAGTATCAACGAGCCGACATTGCGATCCTCATAGAGGCTGTTAATCTCTTTATCGAAAAACTTTATTACTCTATAAATGGTGTTGAATGGGGAAGCACGTGATCTGCCTCCTCTAGTAGTGATGGTGACAGGTAATGTGTACTTGTATCATTGTCCTTTGCAGGTGCCTTGACAGAAACTCCCGCAGTGCGGATCTTTGCACTCTACGCTGGTGTCGCGCTGCTTATCAATTTCTTTTTGCAAATGACTTGCTTCCTTGCACTCTTCACCATGGACACACTACGACAAGAGGTGGGCAATCATTCTGCATCTTTCACCACTTGTCTTCGCTCTGGCTTGCTCCCAAGCACTTTGACGCTTTAGGATGTGGTGCTGAGTGAATCGGTTAATCGCTTTAATATCACAATGCATGTGAACGGAGTAACATTCATGTTGAAAGCAGTGTTTCAAACTGTGGCATTGACCATTACCAGTTACCACTGTGACCATCCGTACCAAATAATGCGATGGGAGACATCTGAACTTATAACAAGCTTCTAAACTTAAAAAATTATGAATCGATGTGAGGGTAATCTGTTCATTGAACCTTGAAGTGAAGCTTCGTGGCAGTGCGGATTTTCACTGGATTGGTTTTTTCATGGCTTAGCATTTCTCCACTGCAGTGAAACCGCTTTTACTAAGTTACATGCAGACTAGTACACACCATAGTAGATTTTTCTTTTGCTTAGCACCACTGCACTGCACTGAAACAACTTTCATAGGGGGTGTACGTGCAAATTATTATACACCTATTCGTTCATTTCGAGTACTTCTAAATTAGCAATACTTTAAATTCGAATCGAAGCGAATTTGAACGCTGTAGTATTGGTTCGAATAATTCGAAGCATTCGAATGTTCGCACAAGCCTACTAGGAATTTAGAGGCAAAATTCTCGAGCATTGAGCCACTTATTCTTGCTTGTTACTGTTTGCAGTAGTTTCATTTCTGCATTTGTTTTTCCTCCTCGCAGAGCAACCGCCTAGACCTTTGCTTCTGTATAAAGGCTTCTAAGAAGAGCAAGCCCTCTGAAAACACTAGTCTGCTGTACAAGTTCTTCAAAACTGTCTATGCACCTTTCCTGCTTACAGACTCCGTGAGAGTCATTGTGGTAAGTGTTACAGTGCGAGGGTATAATTGTTATTCCGATAAAAATTATATGGACTGTCTTGATGGTTTTTTTGTTGTCGCCGTCAGCGTCGTGTCACGTATAAAGTCCAAATTGATAATATCCCCCAGTGCATCTTCTTGTCTATCGTCGCTTGAGACATCTACACTGGCTCTTGCTTATACAGCAAGTCACCTAAAGGGTTCCAAAACAAGAAAGGAAAATTTTTATGGCTTTGCTCAGGGGTTGGATGAATAGTGTGGGGGCTGGCAAAGGAAAGTGTCCCACTCTGCTTTTCTATTCAAGTGCAGCTGTGTTCTATAAATTGCAAGACTATTATTGTTCATTATAACTGATAATACCTTATATCAGAGGTCGTTATGTTGAGGATTCAGTGAATTACTTAGCAGGACTTATCCCAGGGCTTTAATTTTTAACAGTTAGAAGTAGTGTGATATGGTATATTTGCCGTGGTAAAGCGTTGCGCTGTCAAGCTTAAGGGTGCACGGGTTTAATTTCGGCTACAGCTACATTTCGATTGGACGAAATGCAAGAACAAGCACGTACGTTACGTTCAGGTGCACACTAAAAAAATTCTGTGGGGATGAAAATTAATTTGTTGTGCCTCAATATAGCATGTATCATGGTTGTTGTGGTTTTTGCACGTAAAACTCCATAGTTCTGTTACCAAGTCCTGTAGTATACTTCTGTGGCACTGTTACTACTGTTTGTCTTTTGCTTATTGTTGGCCTCACTATTCTTTTTTCAGTTTTTTTGTATGATTTCATGGCACTGTTTAGTATTGTGTATTTTGCGGTATGAACAATGCGTGATAGTTTTGCTGTACACCAGACTCTCATTAAGCAGAACCCAAAGGAACCAGTAAAATCTGTTCCGTTTAACAGGAGTTCCGTTTACTCAGAGATGAACAGAAGTGCGAAATGCAAGACTGAAACCAATCTTGTCAGAAGCACTTGGTTCGTTTAAGCAGCAGTTTGTCGTAAGATTTTGAAGCGAATGTTGCTCTCATGTTTTGCACCTATTAGTATAGACATGGGCCCTTTTGTGCACACAGGGACAGACTTTGTGTTGCTACATCCTCAGTGCATTGGCTCTATGTAATGAGTGTTATTAACGGACCGTTTCCGCCTCAGATGGTGGCCTTCATTGGTTGGCTGTGCTCCTCCATTGCGGTCATAAGCAAGATTGAAATCGGCCTCGACCAGGAGCTTGCTATGCCCCAGGTAAGCATTTAGAGAAGTGCTGTGCTTTCTAAAATTTAATGTGGCTGGTAACGTTTTTGTAAATAAGCTCTCTTTAAGTCGCACTGGCATTGGTGCTGGAGTCGGCAGTTAGACAAGTTCATGGCAAACATGACTTTTTTATGTGCTGCTGTTGTTACTTTCAAGGCTTATTAATCCTCTGTGGTGTGAAACTTTTACCCACTGTCCGACCATTTGGGATCGGAACATTTTACGAGGTTTGTGCGCGTGAATGAGAGAAACCATGTGCAAGAAAAACTCAACACTTGTTAATTACTTAACTTGGCTTGTGCCCAAGTTTTCAGCTATCTTTGAGAAGCGCGTGATGCCTGATTGTAGTCTGCTGCATGCTGTGTTGTTAGGAAGCGCATGCCTGACAATACCTAGAAGGCTACAAAAAAGGTCGTATTGTATGAGTGCATCAAACTCGTTGGAGTTGCGGGCAAGGGTTCACCAGTTTTAATTTAACATTTTCTTCTTTTCCAAAATGCTGCGTTCTACAACCTTTCGGGATGGACAGACAGCAGCCAGAATTCATTGTTACAGCTAATAATGCGGCATGTGGGCATTGCCCTAAGCAGGTTTTTTCACCATAGGAAATAAACAAAAGATGAGCTACTGCTTCTCATTGTTACAACCAATATAGTCTTAAGACCGGTATCGTTATAAGTGGGTTCAACTGTATAACCAACTTTGACATGGATATTCACAAACGTTCACCTGGCAACTTGGTATGATCAACTGGAATTCTCCTAATGCATGGCGTTATTCATGAAGGAATTTATTATTTTTGTGTACATTGCCTACTTATCATTGGGCTGTAAAATGGGGGCCAAATAATAGCTCATCTACTCATGTGGGTCATGTTGATTTTTTTGTTGCCAAAAGTAATGCACTCTTGCAATCCTTGTGTTGTGGCAAGAGTGGACACCAGGCCAGAGTACCCATTCTTCTTCGCTCAATTTCAGGATTCCTACCTGCAGCAGTACTTCGACTACCTCAAAAAGTACTTGCAAGTTGGACCTCCCGTGTACTTCATTGTCACCGATGGCTACGACTACACGGACGTCAAGAAACAGGCCAGGCTGTGTATAAACGAGCAAGTCTGTGACCAGGACTCCGTGGGGGCTAAGCTCAAGCAGCTAACGTTGCTAAGCAACAGGTGGGTAATGTTCCTCCTTCGCTCGTGTGGGTAGCTCGGAAACGGGGGACCACTTATACTAAGTGCCAATGTGCGATTAATGGGACACTCGATACAGATTTTGTATTACACTCCAACCTCGTTATAACAAAGTGGCATTTACAGGAAACCAGTTTCGTTATATTCAAAAATTCATTATAAAGGTGTATTCTCAGTGCTATGTGTGTTGAAAGAGCATTCATTTACTTAGTCATAACCGATGTTTTATTTTATCTGGGTTCATTATATCCAAATTTGAGTATCTAGTAACTCTTTAATGATACAGAAAGCTCCGATCTTGCTTTGAAAGCTTGCTTGGCAAGCTGCGACACATCTAATAAAAAAATAGGTGTGATGACACTGTCGTGAGTCTCTCTTATTTACTCTCTGTGATTTCAAAGATTTTGATGGCATCTGCAAAGATTCTACACTGTTCATCACTGAACATGAATTACACTGCTTTCTCCGAAGAGTCGGAGACACAGCAGCTTAAACTGAGGCAGGGCTTTGCTTCATTGTTAGTTTAATTGGGAACGTTTTACGTACTGAAAATGCGCATTATTTTAATAGAGAATTTTGACAGTGTGATCACTGTTTGCAAGTAACTGCTTGTTGCAAGGGGCACGAGCTTAAAACTTTTCGTGCATGCTTCGCATTGACGACTTAATACTTAGGCTTCGTTTTTTTTTTTCCTTTCAGGACGTATGTGACAAGGCTGCGGTCGTACTGGTTGGACCAGTACATCCTGTACATGCGATCTTCAGATTGCTGTTATGAAACCATAAAAAATCGTGACTTCTGTTACTCCGAGTTCGGCACTGGTAAGCAATTGGTGACAGGCACAGTTCATAACGTAGTAAACCTATTTTGGTTGTGTACAAGGCATATTTAAAAAGTTTCTGCTCTCGCGGCTGATGATAGATTTTAATGCTCCACTTTTCACAGCATAGTAGTCTCTCCTAAAATGTGTTCTGAAGGGGCCGGGAAAATATATTCTATTTAAGGAGAACTTCAGTTTTTTTTTTCGGTATTCACCGATTTCAATAAAACTTTGAACATGTGTTCTCGTCGGTGCCGTGGTGATGTGCCAGCTTATACAATCGTGAGTCATTTAGTTTTTCTAAAACAAAATTTTAAAATTGGTAGCCTATTCTTAAATCACACATGTCAACACAGGCTACCCTGTGTATGTGACATAAGGGCCTACTCTTTGTAAAAAATCCCGCCTTTTCCAGCAGACGTATGCAGCGCCCACTTTCTTTCATGAGGCGATGACAATGCGATCACAGTTAAGTTTTGTCAGCTGCATATAGCATGTTAGTCGTTGTTGACATCGGGTCTTATAGTATTGAGCAACGAGGAAATCGATTCGGGGCATGTCAGATGCTTCACGTGACGGCGGGTCGAAATCAAAAAGCGGTGCTTCCGTGCTCAGATAATGGCTGCAATCATCGCTGAACTTGTCACTGGTAAGTTCAGACGAGCTGGCACAGCTCGATTCTATATCATATGACATCGCCAACTTGCTTTTCATGCGTCAGAAGGAGTACGTGAACTACGTTTACACCCTCGCCAGCCATAGCGGGGTGTAGTCGATCTCGTGACGTCATCGGCGACGGATTCTCGGGACGCCATCTCATACCTACCATGGACGACGAAGCAGCTCCCTGTTTCGGTTTCTGTTCTGACTTGTCGTTTATTGTAGGCTTGTGCGAATAGTGAGTTTCAGGGTCGAAGCGAATAGTGATTTTAGTCGAATAATTTCGAATCGAATTCGAATAGTATGTATGGCGTATAAAAAAAGGGAATATTTATCATAACCTAACTAACCTGCACGATACTTCTTTTGAATTGAAATAGGGGCTCTTCGCAAACGCCTTTTTTTTTCGTTGAAAGGAAGTCTAAACAACCTTGATTAGTAGTTTCGGTAGGATCCGAGTGATAACCTGTAAGATACATAACGTTTTAAAATTTATTACACTTAAGTCCTATAAACCATCATAACAAGCCTAATAAAATGAATAATTGATTTGAGGGTAACATCTTCCTTTTAAAGGGGCCCTGCAACACTTTTTCAAGTGTCCATGGAGCCAGTAAACATGCTTGTCGCCTCACAAATTTACCGCTGCAAAGTTCCTAGAATCAGTCCAGTACAAGCGGAGTTCCAAAAATTTGTCACACGCTGCGATTGCACTCTCTGTTCTCGACCCGTCAAAAGATCTGGAAGATAAGTAGTGAAGGATGGCACAAGAATAGAAAAAAACATCATGAGCGCCTAGCGACCTTGAGCATTTTTTCTCTTTTTTCTTCAAATACGAGGCCTTTCAGTGCAATCGTGCACGTACTTGTGGACAAGCGGTGGCCTCATGCGGCGGTTCGATAACGTCGAGCACTCCATGCTCAAATCAGCCAATGACTGTGATCAGAGCTGTATTTTCTTTCTTGTCTGTACAAGTGATTTTTGAGCTTGTAGTGTCATTTGCCGAAGGAAGAGAGTAAGTTTGTTTTGAAAATTCATTTCGAGTTTCAGGCCGCGTGCTGCACTTTAATACTTGCCTTGCGTGTTCTCGGTAGCCTCGACTACCGATCGGCAGCGTTTTCTGACCATGCTCAGCAAGTGTTGCAGGGCTCCTTTAATTCTGAAGGGGGGGCTTTGCGGCAAAGCAAATTTCTCTTGAGTAGATGTTTTCACGGTTTTGCACAGTTACATTGCAGTGAAACCACCTCTGCAGGTGGACTAGTGTACATTTATTCGTTCATTGCAAATACTTCCAAAATATTCGATAATTTAAATTCGAATCGAAGTGAATTCGAATACTCACCTATCCGTTCGAATATTGGAAGTATTCGAATATTCGTACAAGCCTAGTTTATTGCCTAAAGTTATTGACGAGTGCCTGGCTACGATGAAGCACCCTAGCTTTTGCAGGACTGTCGATACTATTTCAATACAGTATTGTCTCAGTAAGGTCGAAAATGCACCGGACTTTCTTTGTAGCAGGAGTTACGTGTACTGACGTGGCTGGCAACAGGGGTGCGTAGTTCAAATACGTAATCAATCATATTAGAAGCAGCAATTTTGATTAAGATATTTTCGCTTGGTGAGAGTCTACTGTTTGCGTTTCATGGTACTCATGTAAGCGAAATTGCCAGAATACTTTCATATTTCGGATGATGTTGCCGTAGATTTTCCTCGAACTTATGATGCCTCCATGGCTGAAGAAGAGTCGTTAAGGTAGTGTCGTTGCATAAATTTTTATGCATTGTTTATTCAATCTGTTGTTCTTCACTCTGGTTTTTAGCAAATGGAACGTGCCAGTCTTGCAGCGTGCCCAGAACGCAGCCCTTCGCCGGTGAAGAATTTAAACACCATCTTCCCTGGTTCCTGGCTGACGTTCCCAACATGAAGTGCTCTTCAGCGTGAGTAATTTGTATACAATAACACTAATGTCAACTGCAAGTGAGCCGACATTACACTTCAGTAAATAATTTATGTTCATGTTGGGTAAACTGTGATTCAGCTTACCTTGTATAAACGAGCGTTAAAGTTGGTTTGTTTGTATGCTTTCTTTCTCTTCTGGAAGGACAGTTTTGTCTGAACGCTGTCTTTGTCTCTTGTTTTCTCATGCAGTGGTCGTGCAGAGCATGGAAATGCTATAAACCACATTAATGGGACCATTCAAGGTAAGAAGTCAAAATTTAGTTGGCTACTGAATAGTAGTTTTAGTGAAAGCGCATCTCGATTTGTGTTTAAAAGACTGTTGCAGGAAAGTTGCGCTTTTTTGTATATGCTTGGTGTTTGCCATTTACTGTGATGAGACTTAGACAGGTAGATCTTGTCTTCTGCACTTTAAAGTTAAACAACGGTTTGAGCGGTAATGCAGTAGATGAACTTCTATAACCTCTGCCTTTGGACTTTTAGATAAAAGATTGCCTCGGTAATGCTGGTATAATTAATTGCGGATGAGACAACATGTTAAGGCAATGTTACATCTTCTCTATGGCCGGTCTTCTATGCTGTTTATCATCTGCAAGACTCGCCAATTTAACCACAGTCTTGAAACCATAGCAGAAAAAAATTTCACCTTCAAAAGGTGATGTTCAAGTTTCAAGTTTTATTGTTTCCAAAAACAAGGTACAAAATCTAAGATATACAAACGAGGGTCCCAGAGCCAGAGACTTAAGTGGGACCCTTGGTTTCTCGATACAAATCGACGGTAAAATTTATACAGAGCAACAGAAAATTCTTACAATATACGAACATCAATATGCACTTTTCTATCACAAATAAAGCCAAAACACGCAACATAGTATAAAAAAAACGAAGAACAAATGAGTCAAACAGGTAAACGATCACATGTAAGGTTATTCAAAAAAATGATTTTTGACGGACTTTTTGAACAAAGGAATTGAAGTGCAACGCTTCATGCTAAAAGGTAACACATTCCAAAAGGATATCGTACTGAAAGCAAAAGTTTTTTGGCCTATAATTAGAATGAGCGGGGGGTAACAGCAAATTTTTATCAGCTGCAAACCTGGTCACATTATTATTCTGCAAAAGATCTGATGTAATAAACGGGAATGCGAGTTGATTACACAGCAGTTTGTGGAATAAGGTCACAAGATTTAACTGGAACAAAAGATTTACTGGCAAGATATTGTAAGAGCGTAGTAATGTGTAGGCGTTCCATTGCAAAGAACTAGAAGTGACAATGCAAATTGACTGATTTTGAATGTGCTGTATTGATAAATGACAAGCATAAGTGTTGCCCCATGAGACTACACCGTAAGTAATATGATTATTGTGGTAAAGAATGAACGCAAAATACAGCGCCAGTAGAGCTTCACGGGAAAAGAAAGGGCGAGCTTTGATTAATGCGCGGATACCAAACGCCGTCTTCTGCTTAAGATGGTTAAAGTGACTGTGAAAGGTAAGGCATGGGTCAAAATGTACGCCAAGAAAGACATCAGAACAAGCAGAAATGAAATGAATACCAAGTTGTATTAAGGGAATAGCAGATAATGACCTCTGAGCACTTTTAAACACCATAAATTTAGTTTTTGTGGGGTTGATAACTAAGTGATTACTGCTGCACCAACTCATAAGGGCACTTAATGCAAGATTTAACTTTGAAACAAGGGCATCAATGTTTTTATCAGAAGAAGATATTGTTGTGTCATCAGCGTGTAGAACACAGTGACCACAGTCAAAAGAGCTAAGAACATTAGCAAGATCATTCATATATAAAATAAATAGCAAAGGACCCAATACTGAGCTCTGCGGTACTCCTTGGTTAACATATTTTGTTGTAGAGAAGGTATTCGCAGCGTGTACTGTGTACTGTTGGTCAAGTAGATAATTTCTTAAGAATGTAAGTGCAGGGCCTGTTATTCCATAGGACTGAAGTTTATGCAATAAGACTTGATGATTTACTGTGTCAAAGGCTTTAGTGAGATCTAAAAAAATCAAACCCTCTAAATTTCTCGAATCGATACTTTTCTTTACGTAATCAGAGATGGCACAACTAGGCTTGTTGACCTACCTGGACGGAAACCAAATTGGCTGTCTTTAAGCAATTTAAATTTAACTAGATATCCATTCAGACGTTCAACAAACAATTTTTCGACTAGTTTGCTGAGGCAGGAAAGAATTGAAATTGGACGGTAGTTGGAAACTGGTTGTTTATCGCCTTTTTTAAAAACTGCAATTTCTTTAGCTTTAGCTTTAGCAGGTTGTAGTACTATTTTGCGAAAGTAGGCAGTAACCTGTGGCTGCCTGATGGTCACAATTTAGTGACCAGGTCCCTGCAAAGTTATTTCTGGAAACACATTTAGGCACTCTGGTTGCACCCAATAATTACTGTTCTGTAGCACCACCTTCACATTTCTTACACTCCATTGTGGCTTCTGCAGCATCTACGCTGGTAAGTCCACACTCTGCTGTAGTAACAGTAAGCCTTAACGCCTACCAGAGTTTCGGCGGGGGAAAAAAAAAAAGAAAAAGAAAAGCTTGTTGGAAGTAATGCAGTAAAGCTCATCATTTCCAGCCATCCGAGTCCTACAGATAGGATCGGGGAAACGTGGCTACCTATTACACTAAAATCAATCAAAATGTTTGCGGCTTGCCTTCAACGAGTGTAAACGTTGCTCTTCATTTCAGCTGCCTACTATTCAGCCTACCATCCGGTGCTGAGGACGTCAAAGGACTTTTATACGGCCCTGGAGTGGGCTCGATTAATATCCCACAACTTGACAGACATGGTCAAGGAAGTGCAGCCCGAGTCCGAAGTGATTTCTTACAGGTCGGTGAAACTCTCCTCGAGATATTCCGACGCGTGTCTCGGCATTTTGAAAACTGTGTATTGCTAAAGCTTTGCACGTTTTTGCATGGCCAAGCGATAGGGGGTATTAGGGGCCAGCATTTATTTATGGTACTTTAGTTCGTTAGGAAAATTCTTTTTGTTAAAATTGAGTATTTCTGCTAATCGATTGTGTTGTTTGAGAACTATGGCTGCAAAGAGGGATGTGTGATTATTGATACAACTAATAATTTTTTGACCTTGTACGACGCTGTTTAATATATTTGGAGCCTCTCTCTCATGCTTCAATACATAGTTCTCTTGTTCTGTGGTTCATGTTACAACACAGAAGTAACGTGTTTTTAGACAGACGAGGCAGCAAAGACATAGAGGGTATCGGAGTAATTAACCAATATAAATAATTTCTGCTATTATAAAATCAAATAATGGTTGTTCGTTTATGGAAGTGTACTGTGCAGCACAGGCTGGGTTCAAATGTGACATTCTTTAGTACCACGATCTCTGGTCACAGTCATTGGCTGATTTGAGCATGGCCCGCTCGTCGTAATCGGACCGCCGCGTGAGGCCGTTGCTTGTCCACAAGTACATGCACGATCGCACTGAAAGGCCTCTTATTCAATGAAAAAAGAGAGAGAAGAGATGCTCAAGGTCGCTAGGCGCTCATGACGTTTTTTTCCTATTCTCGTGCCATCCTTCACTACTTAGCTTCCAGATCTTTGGACGGGTCGAGAATGGAGAATGCAATTGCAGCATACGACAAATTTTTGGAACTCCGCTCATACTGGACCGATTCTAGAAGCTTTGCGGCGGTAAATTTAGTGAGGCGACAAGAATGTTTACTGGCTCCATGGATACTTGAAAAAGTGTTGCAGGGCCCCTTTAAAGGAACATGTTACCCTCAAATGCAACCCATTTTACTGTGTATCTTACGTTGTGTATCTTACAGGTTATCACTCGGATCCTACCGAAACTACTAATCAAGGTTGTTTCGACTTCCTTTCAACAAAAAAAAAGGCATTTGCACAGAGCCCCTATTCAATTCAAAAGCAATATTGTGCAGGTTAGGTTATGATAATTCCCCTTTTTTTATATGTCATGCATACTATTCGAATTCGATTGAAATTATTCGACCAAAATCACTATTCGCTTCGAATTCGCTTCGAGCCTGAAATTCACTATTCACCCAAGCCTAGTTATAACCGATATTTTGTTATATCCAGGCTCATTATATCGAGGTTTCAGTGTGTGGGCTGTACGGAAACGCTTATTTTAGAGCTTTTGTAATTCAGTGGCAACTAGATCAAAGAAGAAGCGCAAGTGTCTGACGTGGTACTGCACATCCACTTGCACGCCTGTTCGATTATTTCAAGGGTAAGGTGACTTTTCATAAGTGCGTGGCTGCATTTTTTTTTTGTGTGTGTACACAACTCTCCGCAAAATAATCGACATCACTCACCACACTTCTCAATTCTGCGCAGTCTGGTACATGTGTTCTACGAGCAGTACCTAACCATGTGGCCAGACACGTTCAAGAACCTGGCACTCTCACTGGGTGCCATCTTTGTGGTGACTTTCGTGCTGCTTGGGCTGGACTTTATGTCGGCACTGGTTGTCACCTTCACCATCGTCATGATCATCGTCAACCTGATGGGCCTCATGTACTGGTGGGACATATCGCTCAACGCTGTGTCGCTCGTCAACCTGGTGGTGGTGAGGGCTGGTGCATTGATGCACTGATTATTACTCTCTCACCTGTTATATTTCTTGCATTGAATGGATTTCTCTGATTACTGCTCCTGCCTCTGCATGTTCTAAATGTGTATCTTTGCCTCTTTCCGAGGGCTTGGTTTTTGTCGCGATTTCCTCACTGTAAAGAACTGCGTGTGTCTGTAATGCCTTGTGTCACTGGGGAGCACTCGCACATTTCTTATGAAGCAGACCAGCATAGGTGACAAAAGTCGCTATACGTATGCAACCTAGTAGCGTCTACTAGTTATTTTATTTTTCTCTCGTGTCTGTGGACATAGACTTTCCAAAAAATAGCTAGGCGAGACTCTGGCGCTACGATCGTTCGGGGACCATGGAATTATGGGTATTACATGGATTTGCCAAGTCTTTGTGCTTGCGTGTGGTGAATCGCACTTGTGACTTCGTGTATTGCTGCGTTTGAGTTTTGTTTAACAAACCGTTTTGAACTTCGTGGGCCGATTTGAATTGGTGATCCTAAAAGGTGAAGGTGGTGAAGCGCTATTGCCGAACATTTGCCGATTGTTGTTTCGTGGCAAAGCAGCTTGAAGCCAGTCGAAGTCAGAAGGATTGTAAAGTACTAGGCAAATCCATGTACTAGCCATAACTCCCATGCTCACTGAAGCGCCACGCATTGCAGCTCCCATAGACAATAGCACCAGTCTTTTCCCTCTAGTGTATATTTAGAAAACTTTGTCTGTGGATTGTTGCCTTGTGTTAATGTGTCCTTGTGTCGGATTCATTGCACAAGAACCACCACATTTTACGTTTTTTCCTGGTTTTTACTGCATCAGGTAGTGATGTATAGCACACATACTATTCAGCATTGCTTAATAGCATATTGTGGAGCAAGTTATTTATCAGTACTTTAACAAGAAACGGAGTACGTGAACACAGTCCAGGTGGAGTTAGCAGTGTCCAGCCCCACCCCTCACTCCTTTACATGTTTGTGTAAATATGTACGTGCTTGTGTGTACATACACATAGACACATAGGGGATGTTCAAACCTCCTCTCTTATGAAGTAGTATTCTGGGTATGCATCTGAGGGTGAAAGGGTCTTGCTCTGCACTATCGGTCACTCACAAGGTCTACGAGGATGTGTGGAAAGTTGTGAATTCTTCTCTTGACGCGGTTGCTTTTTTCTTCCTTTCTCTTCCTCCACAATTTCCAGGGCGTGGGCATCTCGGTCGAGTTCTGCTCCCACCTGGTGCGGGTGTTTGCCTTCAGCGGTGCTCCCACTAGGGTCAAGCGGGCTCAGGATGCCCTCACCAAGATGGGGAGCTCGGTCAGTACCCTCGGCATCTCCTCCCCTCTTACCTCCTCACTTCCTCTCCCATGCTGCAGCATCACATTGACATTGTCACATTCTCCAAATGGTGAATGTGCATGCTATTTATACCGCATTGGGGATCATTGCGTGTACTTTTATATGATGCCAAAAAGCACACAAATAAAGCTACTGTACTACTGTAGTGAAATGCCATTGATCTTAAAACTGTGCCTTGTAAAATTTTATGGATTTTGCTATGTTGTAGTAGTGAGGGTCTATTCTGAAAGAGGCCTTTTAGGAAAGATTTACCATTTCAAGGAGCGAAGGTCATGGGAAGAAAAGCTTTTGTGAGCTCGAGTAAGCTTCCTGTCCAATTACAGTTCAGGAGCATGAAGTGACAGCTCGAACCTAAATGCAAAGGAGCATACACTATCCTTGCACATGATTGCCAAAATAACACTGGCTTGTACCTACAATTTGTAGAATAAAATTAAAAATTGTGCATTCGTGTCTACCTGTCAAGTGCTGGTTCCTTCGTGTAAACATGCCACTCGGTAATGGTGCCCTGTGCAGATTCTGTCTGGCATCACGCTGACGGACTGTGGGATCCTGGTGCTGGCATTTGCCAAGTCTCAGATCTTCCAGGTGTTCTACTTCCGCATGTATCTGGGGATCATCGCTTTCGGCACACTGCACAGCCTCATCTTCCTGCCCGTGTTCCTTAGCATTCTAGGTCAGTATACCACGGCGCCCGCCTCTCTGCAGCTGCCATAGCGTTCCATGCATACGACGTGGTTTGCCGCGTGGAAATGCTCGGATGTCTCGCATTCAGACTGGCATTGTTCGCAAACAACTTGTTCAGCTTGGATGCATCTGGCTTGAAGTGTTCCTTGCGTCGCAGTGGTTAACCTTTAATCAAAGCATGCGACGAGCTGTTCTCTTAGCGTAATATAGCAACAAGCTTTGTAGAACTTTGAAAGCTGCTTTGATGCTCAATGTTACCAAACTTTAAAAAGCCCGTGTTTAAACCTTTATTGCAAACTGTTAGAACAGCCTGAATAAGGCCTATTTCTGGTCGTTTTGGTCCAGAAAACTGCATTCATGCACCCATATTTATTGCTCATTGCCAGCTGACACGACCGTCGTTTTCATGACGACACAGCAGCCCTTAGAAAACGTGCATAGACGATGGTGCCAAATTTCCCTTTACCTCTAGGTGTTACTGTCAGAAGATGCGTCTTTCATAAGCATATCGTGGTTTTGGGACGTTAAACCCCACATATCAATCAACAAGATCTACCGTATTTACTCGCATAATCCTCGTACTTTTTTTGCAAAGTTGGGGGGTGCAAGAATTCATGCGGGAAAAACTTTCCTTGAAAACGAGAGCGAAAAAGAAAACGAAGTGGCCGCGAATCGGGATTTTCACACCAGCATCTAACAGCAAGCTTTAAGAAATACTAATTAAAACTTACCTCAACAATAAAAGCAGAGGTTCAACACAAGGCAAGATTTCTTTAAGACACAAAAAGTGCAAGCGAATAGTCGAGAATTAGAATACCATACGCAAAGCTTGTGGACGTTGCGGTAGCTTTCGTCATTCAACCAGAGCCCTCAAAGGTAAGCGTAGCATGTCAGTATTGGGCGGATGGTTATTTAACAGAATCGTCAGCAGTTTCCTTCTGAATAAATGAAGTTTACCATCAATCGCAGTCTTAGGCACAGGGCAGGCCTAACATGTCTTGGTGGCTTTCAGCTGCCATCACCAGCAGCAAACACGAAACTCGTCAACTCCAAAAAGCCTACCGGCCGCCCTGTTGCCATTGTTTAGTGCATGATCAGTCACTTTCAACTTTAAAGCAGCCGTGTAGCTTCATTATCGCTCCATAACTCCACAAGATTATCGACACAACATATAAAACACGCCGCAACGCGCACTTGTTGCTTTGGCTTGGATTGGATTGAATCTCCGTCCAATAATAGTACAGTTGATGCTTAAGAGATAGCGTCAGACGGCGCACGCTGTCATCATCAACTGCTGGAACGAGCAGACATTCGTTATTGCGGCGATTTTCGGGGGTGCGATAATTACTCATAGAAAAAAAAATCATATTTTTGTTGAGCAATGTGGGGGGTGCGAGAATTACGCGAGTGCAAGGATTACGCGAGTAAATACAATATGGCACCTGCGTTTGAATGGCTGGGCAGAGATGGGGGAGGCACAGGCTATGGCCAGATTACTTTTGGGAGTACACATTGTATGTGAAAGGGACACTGTAGAGATATATACTTCAGCCCATAGTTCAGCAATAATTGTGGAGCTCACTCAGGCACACTCATAAATTTTGCGCTTAGGATTCGCTAGGACTCACGCTCAAAAATTTTCTTCAACCGGACTCGCTCTGACTCCGACGCGCCAAGAAATTATTCACTCGGATTCGCTCAGACTCAAACTCCTGGCTGGATCCGAGTCTGAGTGAGTCCGAGTGAGTCAACTCACGAGTCTGCTAGTCTAAAATTAGCTTTTTAGATCATCCCATCAATGCTTAACACCAGTATATCACATAATTGGTGCTCTTACTGGTGCTTTTTGATATATTACCCTGTAATACGAGTTATGAGTGGTTTTAAACCAGCATAGGCATTTTTATTGGAAGGGATGATAATATAAGATTTATTTGTCAAGAAGCTCTCGAAAGAATTGGTTTGTACAATGCACCCCCCTACATGATTCACTTCTCTAAATAATAAATGTTGAAATAGTGCATGAACGCTATTGTTTTGAAATACTTGTGAGTAGACGCGAGTATAAACATCAATCCAGGCAAGGCTCATGGTAATGCTGAAGATAAGTAGATAAGACCGCAAAACAGGCAAACATCAAACACACTCAGACTCACTCAAAACATATATTTTGTGATTTGGACTCACTCAGACTTGCCAAAACTTTCCCGAATTGCACTGGCTCGGACTCACAGCCACTAAAATTTTCTTCTACCAGACTCACTTGGACTCAAACTCGCCAAAATATTACTCACCCGGACTCAGCTCACACTCAGACCGAGGGATTGATCTGAGTCTGAGTGTGTCGACTCATAAGTGACTTTGTCGACCTATGCTTCAGTCTGCTTTAATCATCCATCTATTGTACCGCAAGGTTTCTTGAAATAGTTCTTAAAGGGAAGTCTTCTTGCATGAGCGAATTTCGCAAGAAGCAGTGTGCCATCATGAAAGACCCTGTTGCATCTGTCTGCAGAGCTTCTGTTGGCTGGCATTGGGCGAGGCTTGGTTTAAGACATGGATGTGGCCACGCAAATGTAGAAGTTTTTTTAGTTATTTCATGGTGCTTCTACACAGGAATTTTGATTCTATTTATGCAAAAACAGAATGTGAATGGCTCTAGGATTAGTAGGTCTTTAGTTACAACATAATTGAGATTATTTACTGTAAAACTTGGTCTTCGTCCTACAAAGTTATTTTCCTCGCAATAGAATATAAAGTACCTTGGAATTCTGAACTGATTTGCGCAAAAAAATTGAAGTATAGAAGGAAGACACCTGGACACAGCGCACAAAAAGTTAGCACACGGAAAAGAGCCTTCAGGTTTTCGCGCAACTCAGTTAAGATGAATTACCAACTTGCCCAGCAGCCCGTGCTTCTCTAGTACCTTGGAATGGTGTGTAAATTTGGTGCATCTGCAGACATGTACCTAAGTTGTACCTGAAAGGATTCAGACAATTTTTGTAAGTACTGTATAGGTATTATTCAGCCATTTCATAGTTGGGGATAAGTGCTTGCTGACAAGTTTTGCCTAATCATTTGTTAATGAAGAAATAAGTAAGAAGAGACTGTGAAGAGGTAGTGCTCAGTGTTTCATTTATCCTCTTTCTTTGACAGCCAGCAGGGGCTTTTTACGCTTTGTATATATACATAGCTAAAGTTCTGAAAATAAATATTTGTGTTTGCTGAGCAGTGAGAAAAGAATAACTCACTCTTGTGCTGTTTTAGTACAGCATGAGCCACTGTGGTGAACTGAGTGCTGTCTTGCCAGATGCCTCTACATGAAAGAACAATGCCGATCTGAATCGTAGGTGTCTTAGCTTATTCACGATGCGTGCAGCATCTTCCAGCACCCCAATTTCTTTATGGGTAATTGTAACAAACTTTGCTTTCCATCAGCAATGCTAATCTAAACCACAAAAGGAGGCTGAAGAAGTCGAAAAGAGGTAAAAAGGGAAGCATGTGCGTGCACAGTGTTTTACCACCACCCATGAGGCCCACTCGTAAGGAAAAAAAGAAAGAACTAGACTTGTGCCAATATTGGAGTGCTTCGAATATTCAAACGACTATTACTCTATTTGAATTTATAAATAGATGTTATTAATCAGCATGTCACCCCTTGTGAAGGATGTTCTCTTGCAATGGAGGAGTGCTGAGCTATGAAAGCACCTGTCTAAATGTACAGGGGGCTCAGAAGTGCCCAGGCCGCACTACTGTAGGCTAAATGTACAGGGGGCTCAGAAGTGCCCAGGCCGCACTACTGTAGGAATTCATAGGATAGTGGCCTGGGAACTTTTGACCAATCTTGCACATAGATGTATGTGCATCTGATAACACCACAGGGTCGAAATTATTTCACAGTCCTCCACTCGCATGCCCTGTAATTGTATCATAGTTATGGGACGCAAAACCTTGTAATTGAATTTTTTTGCACAGAGTGAATTATGCTTACCAACATTTAATCTGCTGTGCGTTCAGGGTATGCACATAATCAAGCCAGGCATAATGTTTTGTCATGTTCATCTTTTACAGCATCTCCCGTTTCAGCACGTGCCAGAAGAAGACTGTTGGTTGTGGAGTGAACCTAAATTATGTTTTCCTAGCAATGTTTTAGCGTTGTAAATAAACACTCACGTTTGCTGTTTCAGACTCGAGCAAGATTGCAATTTTCTGAGTTGATTGAAAACGCATGGCCAACCTGATGCCAAAATGCTAGAAAAATCTGTATGCAACAAACGCTTGAGGTGATGCTTTTAGGCCATCTTCCTGATGAAGTAGAAAGTTCCTTGTAAAAAACGGGTGTTGCTCGGAATTAATACAGCAACCAGAAATTATTATACACAGCAGGTTCTAACATAATTTTCTAAAATTTGTCAATTTGTGAAATACACAAATTAGATACAAAATTTGTTTTATTTTTCTTGGCAGCACCATGGTCAGCTGCTACAGTTGCCAGTAGAATGGTGTCAGGTAGAGTTCAGAGCATTGCTAGTTGTTTTTGAAAAACTCTTGCACTCTATGTCGCGACAGATGGAAGTGTAGGGAGAGTTAGCGATTAGCAGGCAGATTTGTACAACAAAGGTAGTCATGAGCAAAGAAAAGATCGCTTGACAGCGGGCATGCATTCATATGGCAGAGTGCGATCTCAGACGAGAGAACTGGAACCGAAGGGCCAGGCAGTCCCCAGTGTCAGCGCACTTCAGCAACCACACCAGAGACAACACACACTGATCCGAAGCCAGTCACCAGCCATCAAGGCACCGATGAGAAAGACTCTGTAGGACTATACAATGTTATATCGATGACTGGAAGCTCTTTTGTTTTCTCCAAAACTGTCACAAAAGCCGATATCAAATTGAAAACCAAATACACCAATGTCGGCCCACTCACTAGCCTTCGAAGCCCCGGTGAAGAAGAGGCTGCGAGAGCGTGCCACGTTATACCAGCAACTGA